TGTATTCGATCCATCTGTGCTTTAGTGCCCATGTAGGTCGAGATGGTGACGATCCACGTTTTCCTTTTGCCATACAAAACAAACGAGTTGTCCCAAAGTAGAATGGTTTTCCTCTTGAAGGATCTAAAAAGTAGAATTTAAGATTGTTTAGCAGTTGTAAAAACACTTCTAAGAATATCATTACTTTAAAAATTGATTCTAGGAGATTTAGTTTAATTGAAAATAAACATTTTATATCAATTTCTAATGATTTTGAAAAATATCATAAGTCTTAGAACAGTCCATACGAGATAAAGGGCTCTATTATCATTTGCAAAACATGGTCTTCAAACATGCTATAGAATGGTTAACATATTCAAAAGATCTTTCAAAATTATTTGAAAATTCAATCCACCATCACTACAACAGATATTATTTTAATATGTTTACGAAACATACCACTACACTTAGATGCAGTGCATGGTCTGTGCCTAAACCAGGTACCACATCGGTTCCTCCTTCGCCAAAGCCATCCAAACGAATTTGTTACTAGAACCAATAGTACCAGAAACGTCAGCTGTTTTTGTAAAAGAAAACTTAAAAGTACTCTTTATTGATTTCAAATTATGAGTGGATTTGTGGAATATCAATGTCTATCTTCATTATATTACCGATAATTGTCACAGTGTGATATTATTATTATTATTATTATTATTATTATTATTATTATTATTAGAAAATTCATTTTTTTTTTCTTTTGAAGTTTAATTATTCAGTGAAACTTACCATGAAAGTTACTTTCATTGTTGTTGGTGGTTTTCGTGTGAATTCTGCCAAGGAACCGGTGTTAATAATTTAATTAATTGCAGTTGCAGAATATATAAACGTATCATTTATGGTAACATATGCTGCGTAGTTGGTTCTATTACAATGTTTATCATTATAAGTTCCGAGAAAGAGTACAGAATCTATACATTTAAATTATTGAGAATTCAATATATGCATGATCATTTTGTAAACAATCGGATCAGATGTCATTTTCTTCAAAAATTGATTTAAATGATTGACTTTTCCCTAATTTTTAACCGATATTTTTTTTTTGCCCGGTTGTTGATTATTTCCTAATCAATACGTGATTCGCTAGTTCTCTGTCGAATCCAGTTTTGATGTTAAATTTCCTTGCCATCTGTGTTTTGCCTTTGTAAAAAATTCGACCATGAACGATTACGTCAGACAGCAAAAACTATTTTTTGCGGACAACATTCGTAAAAATTTGTCTACAAATTGTCTATTAAAGAAATATATATATTTAAGAATTATTTCTCAATCATGCAATTAGATTTGTCATGTTTCTCCGCTCTCTGAAGTTGAATTTTTGATATTTCAAACGAGTATTTGATGTATATTGATGAAGCATATAAAAATAATACATGTATGTTAGTTTGTAGACCAAATGCGCGTCGGGCGTACAAAATTATAAGCCTGGTATCTTTGATGAGATTTGTTTACTGATATTTCACTGTCAAAATACGATCTTAATTTAAGAAAGAAAGTCATTTCTATTCACGTGGTGTGTTATTCTTTCACCATTTTGAATTGTAAAATAGCAGAGCAGGTCTAGATTTTCAATCAAGTCACCAAATGTAGAAATGTAATTTACTAATAGGAATTTTCATTTAATTGAACAAAGTTATGTGATTTTATCTTAATTACAATTACTAATATTTTTACAAAGTGAAATGTTTTTGCTTGATTTGAATCTTTTTTCTTTTAACTCAACTTAGTACGGGGAGGTAACTCAGAAATTCATTCTAGACGGTGGTCAGTTTAGATATCAATGCCGGGGCTTCTTTGGAAAGGGATTTCTGCAGATAGTGGGTTAGATACTTCACAGTTGCATAATTATTTTTGTTAAGTACGAAAAACAACACACTTAAATATACTTCGCCTTGAGATAATAATGATTGTATTAAATAAGGCATCAAGTTTAGTAGTTATTTTCCCACATGATCCTCAACTTGCCTTGAAAAAGAATTTTACACAGTCTGCACCGAGCTTTATCAACATTCTTTACTATGTATATCTTTTTAAAAATCGAGATATAAACTACATTTAAGTAAAGTACAAAATATTTATCGTTTTTGTTGATTTCTGCTCACATCCTACCTCTATTAAAAGAGAGGCGAAGGATAACAAAGTGACATTCAAACTCATAAGCAGCTGATAAGTGAAGTCGAAAACGAACTGACAACTCAACAACAACAAAAAATGAAAGAAAGAAAAACAACAAACAAACAACATTACACAACATATAAAACTAAAGACTGAGCAACAGATACCACCAAACACCGGGGTGATCTCAGGTGCTCTGGAAGGGTAAGCTGTGCTGTTTTACATGCTATATATTCTACTGTTTTGCCTTTTCCAGAAAGATTTTGACTTGGTTTCAGAGAAACTTTTTCCAACGGCCTCAAAATTACAGATGCTCTCAATCAAGTATTATTATTTTTATAAAAAACACAGTGGCTCTTTTCACAAAAAATCTTAAGAGTAAAAATACTCGTAAGTCATTCACATTTCAGTATAACTTACGATCAATTTTAATCGTAAGATTTTTTGTGAAAAGAGTCGCTGAACGTGATTGATGCATACGAAAAATGAACGTATCCGTACAGAGATTGTTTTTAAATAATTATGTAACATGAGAACTTCCGGTATGTGAAAGACCAAACAAATTTATCCCAACGGTTTGTTTTATATCAATATATGTCTTTGATTAAGAATTGATTATTTCAGACACTGTAGATGCTAAAATTAACATATTTAATCTGACTTGAATTGAATGCATCTGTAATTTTGAGTTTCGAAAATGTAAACAAGATAAACAGCATTCTTTTAACATGAGCAATTCTTTACATATATTTTTGTAAATATTATCATGATTATCTGACAAAACTATTTTCCATGTGAGTTTTCCTTAAAAACTGACTTGGTTTCACATCTTATAAAAAAGTACAATAAAAGAGAGGCGAAAGATACCAAAGGGACATTCTGTGACGAAAAAGTTTTCCGTTAAGGCGTTATACAACTTGACTAAAGTGCGTATCCGTGTTTTCATGCTGTGTTGTTGGGTTATGAGTTTCAGGTCGTGCCTTTCACTCGAACACGGACGACAAATGCCAATGATACACTTTTACAGGATTACCCTAGAAATCTACTGGTAGCGTGATTAAGGGAATCCTGGTCACATAAATAAATAAATGGATCCTGGTGTAGTCTGAACGAAGTCTTGTAAGTGAACATAAACATGAAGTCGAATAAAAGTTCAATACTGTATTATCAAAATCACACGACTATAACAAAGTTACAAGTATAACAAAATGTACATCTAACTTCAGGCTCAACAATACGGTTCTCCTCTCTACTATAAACGTAACTGTCCTCTCCTCACTATAAATTCTCTCTCCTCCTATATCTCACGTTCTTTCTCTCTTATATATCTCTCCTACAAGCCCGGATACAAATATAGACTACTAGGGCAACTGGGCTTCCTGTATTTTACGTGCTCCGGTAATCCGGGTGCTCCGGTTATCTGGGCTCCTAGTGTTCCATGCTCCTTACATAAATTTACTAGGGCACCATATGCAAATCATTAGGGCTCACTGGTCAAACAAAGAAATCTAAATATAACTCTTAATTAATATCTCTGATGATCTCTAACTGTACTAAATGACTATTTGTGTAAATACAAATGTATGTAAACCTGATATAATTACGTAACACACTTGACCTACAGTACTACCCGTGACATTATCTTAAGGATGTCGACCATAAAATTTATGATGACCATGGTCGACCTATATGTCGATCATATGTTCACCTTCTGTTTAATTAATACACGAGGTAATTATCGGATTAAATATCCCCAGTCAAGCGTACTGGAACATGCCAATTGTACCAGGTGATTATTTAAATACATGTAGTAATAATAGGTGAGGCATCTCAGGTAAATCTTAATTATGTTTAAGGTGTCACAGTTGGTGTATTGATAGAATTCTGCAAGAGCTGTTATCATAATAATAAATTTCTAAATTAGCACGTCGATTTTAAACTATAATTCTTTTTTTTTTACTTTTCAGGTCTGTCTGGCAAAAACGAATAATGTGTTTACGTATAAGTTAAAATTGTGTATTCTCGGAAGACATAATCTAGATATAAAATTTATTTATAGAAAAAAAAATAATTGCAATGATAAAGAAAAAATATTATCTTTAAATATTGAGTTGTGAGATAAAGACAGAAAACCTCGTATGTATACATGCGATAAGTATTAAAGACTATATATAGGGCAACACAATAAGAAATATTCAGAGTATACGGGGTTATTTGCATATAAGATACGAATGATTAAATAAATTTTATGTTATTTTCGGTATTTTGAGCAGCAAACAGTGCCGTTTTTCGTTTTTAACAGATGCAGAGCTCATTAATTATGCAGGAATGTGTTTGAACGGTTATGACCTAGACCTTAAATAGCCGCGGTCGGCATATGAAAAACGAAACTTTTATAAACAATCGAGTTCATTTCTTATCTTTTCTCCTACTAATGTAAATAATTTCCCATATCTTTAATTTCATAGATCTCTTCAATAATTGTTCTTATTTGTCTGGTCCTTCCTTTTATTAGAAGATTTTTCACTCATGTAAATTATACAGCGTGGTGGTGAGGTACGGAAGGGGCAATATTTATTTTTAGAACTTGTTCACTTTTCTCACGCATGTAAATGTAAAAGGCTAGGCTCCTTTTGATAAATGATTACCTTGAGTACTGTTCACCTAAAATGAATAGTTTTTGTTTAAAATAACTCGAGTATTTAAAAAATAATTTAAAGTATAAAATACTTTTATTTTATTTCTTGTCTGTCCATTGATAAATTTTCGATAACGTAATATTTCGATTTTGTATTTTAAATATTTTTCTTTATTAGGCACTTTAAATTAAGAGCTTGGTGGGCATGCACACATAATGAAGCCAATTATCTCAAACATTAAATGGACCAATTAATCTTCAGACGAGTTCATATTTTAAAGGACTTAGCTAATTTCTTAAATACAATTTTAGAAGTATCCATTTTGACCCAATCAAATTTACCCAGCAAAACTAAAAGCCAACCATGCCAAGCTGATACCCTAATATAAATCAATGCATTTTACTTTTGTATCATAATTAAGTACTATTTAAAAAATGACTGCCAGAACTATCACCAAGGAATATAGCCATTACTTAGTCAAATGGGGTAGCCAAGACCAGACTGAACTACTTGTAGTTCCAAGATCCAAGATCCTAGCTGAAGGCAGAATCAAAATTGGAGACATCTACAACACTATTTGGGGTGACTCATCAGCAGAAGCAGATGAAGCAGAAATGATTGCCACTGGTGAGTGGCTGGAAATGAGGAAACAACTGAAGTTATACAAAGATGCTTTGCCAACAGATGCTTCCCCAGAGTCTTCACCATCTTCACCAGCCAAATCAACTGATGATTCATCACCAGATGTACCACCCCCTCCTAAAAGAAAAAGGGTTACAGTGCCAAAATTGAAGCCAGATGCCAAAGTAATCCGTTGGTGTGAGGGTATACGAGACACTGCTGCCGTAGAAGACCCTTATCAATTCAAATCTGCAACACCATCACCAGTTCTGCCCATTGAACTTCAACCACCTACGCCACCATCACCAACACCATCAACTCCCCAATCACCAATTGCAGCACCTCTAGACAAACAGCTACCTGGAAACAGCATACTGTTAGCCATAGCAGACCTTAAGTCCCAGGTGCAAGTCCTCAACGAGCGGTCCCTAGCTCAAGATGTTGCCATGAGCAAACTGCAGCAACAAAATGAGAGACTAATTCACCTTGTACAGAGCCTAGTTGATAAACCAAGTGCAACATCTCAGAGTTTCACTCCACATAGACCATGGGGCAACATGACAGCAACCCCAACAAGAGAGCCAAGACAACTCATCCCAACTTCACTTTTTTCTCCGTCACCAACCAACACAACTGCAGTAACTCCTGTACCATCACCTACCTTTAGACTACCAACTTCCACTAGATTAGTTCCATCAAGTAATATGTTCAATGTGATAGACAGTAAATTTCAGCACATACCATCACAGTACCAGATAGCAGCAGGTGATCTAGTTCGGGAATTCAATTCATCTTCGGGACCGGGTAATTTTGCCAAACATTTGTTGGAATTTATTTTCCCAGAACTTCATACCCAAGATTGTTTGAGACGCCACTTTTCCTACTGTGGTGACTTTAAGAACAACAAAAATCCCTTGGACCCGGTACGTGTACAGTTCTTGATGCAGTATGTGTGCCACTTCTACCCTGAGGTAAAGCAGCCACAAGCTTGGAAACTAATGGTAGTTACAAAAATTAACCAAGCCCTGAGACGTCCAGTTAAACAGCCAAAGAGGATCATCTTTTAGTTGACTTTTGATTTGACAATTACATATTTGTGCTAAAACACTTGATGTTGAATGAAAACTATATATTGTATTGTTAATATGACAATTAATTATGACAATGTTTAATGCATTAATGTTCTGACTGTAATTATCTTATTTGCCATCAGATTAAAATTATATAGTTTAATGAATATTATCTACTAGTATTATTAAATTATAACACATATCATATTCTTTTTTATGAAACTGTTTCAAAAATTGCTGTTGCTTCAGAAAATGATTTTAAATGTTACATTTATTATTCATGCTATGTTTAGAAAAACTTTGATGGCAAGTGTAAGAAATGTAATAAGAACTTTATTATCTGATGACACATCAATAATTTTATCATGACTGTATAATCCAATACTGAAAGAGACAACATCCTTTTTATTCATATACTTAAAAATAAACATGCATATATTGAAAAAAAATTTATTTATTTCAAAATATGTGTACTCAGCTTTCTCCAACATTGCAACATCATACAAAATTCTTACTAGGAAAATTCGAAGAAGTTATAAAAAGAAAAGGAAAAAAGAAAAACATTCAAACCTGAATAAAATAAATAAAAACAAATAAATAAAAAATACAAAAAAAAAGAAGAAAGAAACAAAAATCAAAACATTGAAAAAAACTGACATAAAGAAAAACAAATTAAAAAGAAACACATACAAAAGTGAATAAAACAAATAAAAAATTTAAACAAAAGAATAAAAAAAGAAAATCAAAACATAAAAAAAAATTAAAAATAAATAAATTTAAAGCCAAAAAAATAAACAAATAATATAAATCAACAAAGATTTAAACAAAATTTTATTATACAAATTCAAGAATAGGTTAAAATGTCAATTTTAAAAGAATCATTAGTTACCTGTACAGGTAAATTTAAATGACACACACAAGCTGAAAACTTCAACCCTGATTGATTTCAACAGGTAACATAATTAGATAAAACATCAGCCTATGTTTTATGACCCCAATAAATGGCCAACATCTCAAAATTGAATACCCCAATAAATGGTCACCATTTAAAGGTGACCATACAAGTGGGTGGACATAACTAAGAGGATGTCACAGGTTGTACTGTAACATATAAAAACATTACAATTCAAACTCATTATTCGAAAATAAAATGACAACGCCATGGCAAAAAAGGAAAAGACCTAAAGACATGAAAGACAAACAACAGTATACAAAACACAACATAAATAATATTAATAAGCATTAAAACATATAACTTAGTGAGCAAACCTGAGAAATTCAAAATGTTAGATAAACTTGATTGAATTTTGTAATTTGGGCTATAAACTGGCTATAGATAGACTATTTTCATATTACTATATTTTGACTCCAGAGTATATAATCTTTGGACAGGTTACCTACTCTGTGGTAGGACATTCTGGTTCTCAAGTACACAAACAAATTAAGAGCAACTAAAATAAGTAAATTCAAGCATACAATCGGTAATTTGCAATTTGGGGGAAAATTAACTGATTTTCGATGATGATGTCATGTATAGAAAACATAAAACAGTTAATCTGTTCCCAAAATTGAACCAATATTAAGCTTGATTTTAATTCTTTTAGTTGCTCTTACATGGCTGAGTAACAGAATGTTCTACCACAGACATGACAGAGTATGATAGCCTGTCAAAAGATTATATATTCCAGAATAAAAATTTGGTAATATGAAAATTGTCTATCAAGAAAAATCATCTATTTTTGAAAACCACATTCAACTGTTTCTCCATCAATTCGTATTAGATTTATTAGTTTATTTATAAAATTTATAATTATAAACGTTATAATATTTATAGAATTGAATATTTAATGCAGGAAGCCATGTACAATGGAAGACATTGATAATGTTTGATGTTGGATGACTACAATCATGTCTGGTGAGATATTTAACCCACCTGACAGTTTAGATGATTTGGATGTTACAAGATGGAACCCACTCATGTGCTACCTGTGTAATGAGAAATACGAAGAACCATGTATTCTGGGATGTTACCATAGCTTTTGTTCTCGTTGTTTGAGCGGGAGAGATGTTGAAAGGAAAATGACTTGTCCACTCTGTGGGTAAGTAAGACTTCTTACAACTGCTTGATTTTTTTGCAGGGAGCATTCGTTGCAATATGCACTGTAAAAGAAATGTTTTTCATGAAATTCAAGTGTTCACCATGTTTACAATTATGAATATCAACATGATAATGATGATAAACATGATTTATTGTGAAAAAACAAATGATATACATTGCAGCTGTATTTTTTTTAACTGAATATAAACCTTAAATATATAATTTAATTTTTGATTGAAGTGCAAAACCAATTCATGGTGTATTGTCATGTTGGGCAGGCAAGGTAAAGTGGGCATCTTCATCATGTACATTTTGTATTTGATGTAATCATCTTTGGAAACTTCAACATGATGGTACTTATATTTTGTAATCAACTTGTCATACAGTTTTAAACTAAGATATATTGATCGTCACAGAAATGTTGCACACCTTCATTGTTTAGGAAACATCTGCAACCATACCATTTGAGCCTTTGATCCATTTTCCATTATTAAAAAGCCAAATAGAAAATTGCCTCTTTAGCTGCTCTTTCTATGTTTCTACTTCTGTAGTCAAAATCTTTCTGTATGGTGTTTATTAAATCAAAATGAAGCAAGTTGAATGCTGATGATTAAGAGTGGTAATACTCTGATTTATGACCTTATCATATCTATACAGTAAACAATCAATACAGTAAACACAACAAGAGGATTCAGTTAAAAATTATGTTTGGTGGTGTTGAGTGATTCACTGCAAATTGGGGTTTGTGATCTCTGACCCTATGATACATGTATATATACTTTCTATTAAATATGTAGAGATGTATTTCAAAGTAGTACACCATCAAACACCATCATTGACCATGTGTTGACTGAAAAATCATCATCAAGAGTGATTTTTGACTGAATCCACTATCCACCCGACACGAAATGAGGTGGATTGATGTAACTATAGATCTTTAATAATGAGCAAAACCTATAATGTTTAGTCAGCTATGAAAGACCCTGACATGACAAAATGCAAAACAGTTCAAACAAGAAAACCAGCAGCCTGATTTTTCATGATTTTGTAACAAATAGTATTTAATACAATAGACAACAACCAAAGACAACAACTGAATTAATTGCATACATGTTAGATTTCTATTTTATATCTATAGACTAAGTACACAAATAAAGGATGGTGAGGATCTGCCTCCTTCTGACAGATTGATGAAGTTTCTGGTAGAATCTACTGGGGAAGAGAAAGAAAAATGTGCTAACTGTGATAATGTAAGTTATAAATGATAGTGTCTCTACTTGTCTATTACCAGTTCCCGTCAGAACTTCACAGTTTTTTCTTGAAAATTGTTTAATAAAATCTTTGTTTGCGAATATCCTAGAGTAGTAACATATGAAGTGTTTCCAAAAGTTATGTTTAGCACAATAAACTTTAAAACCTCATATCTGCAACATAAAATAAGTTACTACATGTAGTTTTGTGTTTTTTGTGTGATATTTTATTGAGAAGCAAACACAAACAAATATTTATAATATTGTTTTGAAATCAAGAAAGTAGGATTTTAAGGGAACCTTTGAAATTTTGTCATAATTTGGTTCATAATAAAAACATTCTATAGTCATGTGATAGTATATACATGTACAATGTATATACTGATGAATAGTTTGCTAATTAAAATTATTGAACCAGAATGATTTCAATGTTTAAACAATGAATTAGACTGTATGTCAAGCTAAGGTTATGCATGTGTTTTTATTTTAGTGTGTAATTTTCTTACTGGCTGGCTGGTAGGTTTTCAACTTATGAACATTTACTTGAAACAAAAAAAAATGAACATTTACTTGAAACAAAAAAAATTAAAATAGAAACAGAAATGGCCATACTAACACTTTCAAGATTGATTTTTGTCTAGGATTTCAAAACTGAACATCTGTTGCCAGTAATGCAAAGGTCTGTATACCTGTAAATGTACATGGTGTACAAAAAATGTATGTGTTGTAGAATAAATGCAGATTTCGCTGAAAATCTGATTATTAATTTTACATGGAAAATGTTTGTTAAGGTTATTCACCTACATCATGTACATGTAAATAATATAGTTAATAAATCTGACATTCCTGGAAATTGTAATTGTTTTGACATATTATTTTCTGATTCTTTCCTTTGTATTTGGTAGTTTTTACACACAGGATAATATCAAGTTTTTAAAGTTTTATTCATTTTTTTCTTGTAAACAATTGTTGGCAATTATTTTTCTTCAATGTCAAATGGGTGCTTGGCTTTTAAATATTGGTGGTATGGCCTTAAGAAAGTTACAAGACCTAGAGAATTTTTTACTTGCATGAGTTAATATTTGAAATGTTTTAATTTAACATTTCAAATTTTCCCATAACATTTATTGACTTGTTGAAGTCATATTTTGTTCAAACATAAAGGTAGATAATCGATGACTCACAAACAAAAATGGACTTTTTTATGTCTGAACACTGATTGTAAGTCCTGTAATTCTTAAATTTTGGTCTGATACTACTGATTTTCTAATTACCAAATCTGTTTAAAATACAGAACCTTTCTAAGGATCTGACAATGCCCTTTTTAGCTCTTTATTCCAAAGATGTATTAGGAATCTTTAGGATTGGCTCTTACGAAAATTAACTTCAAAGATTTGAAGGTATAAATTTTGTTGGCTGGTTGAAATTTTATCACAGCATAAAGTAAACATTTTCAGGTCTATGAAAGCCAAGGGAGATAAGTTGATCTTTATTTTAAAAGATTGCTTATTTCCATGTTTAAGAATTACCCATTGATAGATTGGGAAATTATTATTTAAGAAACTAAGTTTCAAACTCCCTTAGGCAAAGTTGACTTAGATGAGTTGGGCTATGTTTTTCAAGTCCTTTTTGGTTGTAAAGCTCTTTTTGCTTCTACATATTTATACATCCCTGGCTTTCGCATACATTTATTAAGGTTTGATTGTTTCTGATGAAGGTAAATCAAGAAAAGGGGCTTTGGATGCTCAAATTTTATGAAGTTTCATTTTCTATTACAGGAATTTGAACAGATGTTCTTCTGTAACACATGTGACCAGCCATTGTGTGAAGCATGTAGAGAGGATACCCATAGAGCAAAGATGTTTGCCAAGCATGATATTGTAGTCTTATCCAAACGAACAAAGGAAATCCACAGGGAATGTGGTAAATGTCTTGATAATAACAGAATGTTTAAGTTATAAAGAAACTGAAAAGTTGTTAGTTTTGAACATGTTGAAGAGAGGTTCTCAGAAAAACAAATATTTAGTTACATGCATAATTTTTTTATGCATATAGAATAAAAGGAGATATGGTATATAGCTATACATGCTATAAGGTTTAGCAGCAATGAGAAAGCTACTCAACAACACAAGATAACTAAAATAGACGTTTAACACTAACCATATTGTTCATGTGCACTTTCCAATCTGCATACTGTTAATTAAGATGTTATGTGCATTTATCATGTTTATAATTGCGATTGTTGAAAATTTGACAAAATGGAAATTTAAGTAATAATATTTTAGGAAATGCTGCATAGAAATATGCTATCAAAATTTAAATGTGAGTTTACATTGATGTGAAACCGGTCCTGTGACAATTTTTGCAAGAATAAAAAAATCTCAGAAATTGCTGAATCAACAATGGTTTTATACTTCAAAAAATAAAATGTATTCCACCTTATGAATTGATGGTTACATTTTAGGGAAGCTAAACAAAATAAATACATGAAATAGTTTGATTTTATGATGTGGGACAGTTGTATCTTGGCAAATAATGCTTCATTGATCAAAATCATACTCATGGTGTTCTTATGATGAATTATTCACTTTATGTCAATGAGACAGCAACCCATCAACTTAAAATCCACAAAACACTTCTAGAGATCAACATATGAACTTGAAATCAGACAAGAGATTATACCATGCATATGTCAAGATCTAAATTGCCCCCAGTCAAGGCAAGTTGTAAATAAATTTAGTAGAAAGCAACAAATATTTGTTATCAACCCCAAATTTTTTGAAAGACATAAAACACTAAAGCTGTAACAACAGTCACTGTCTCTGACTTTGCTGTTGTACAGAAAGTTCTCTGAAATGTCTATTCCTGTTGAAGTCTGTCTATAAACTGTTTGTATGTGATGCATTCATTTGAACATTAAAAGAATTAACGTCACAGTACCCAAATTGCACCGAGTACCCAAATTGCACCTATTCAACAAAAATAGCTACGAAAATCTTACAAGTTTTCTTTGAGACTAAATAATTTGTATTTTTATGATTTGACATTATAGACGTCTTTTAACATAGGTAACTATATTCAAATATACAAAAACGTTCACAGTATATATTTCAACAGATGTGAAGCTCACTGGAAAAAGTAAAATCTACTGAACGTCGCCATGCGACGTTCACAAAAAGTCATCTTTTAAAAATGAGCAAATAAAATATGTTACAAGCATCTATTTCTTAAAAAATGAATACCAAGCATGGACTAATGTTAAATTGTTCTAAATATTTGAAGAAATAAAACAAAACAACTGTTATTCGAATTTTAAGGATGTGAATTAAAGCATGGTTGCAATTTGGGTACTCATCATTACCATGAATACAGAATCATGGATCGTTTGGAGGTCGGTTCAAACCCATTTTTCTATTATTCACTATGGATTCAAAATTAAATTGGTGCAACTACATGTATACAGTAAAAAAGGATACATCTACAAAATTAACACAGAATGGTAACTTTTGTCTGGATCATTAAAAAACGTAGGTGAAAAAACTGTCAAAATAGGTGCAATTTGGGTACCCTCAGGTTAAAGGTTTGAATAAGAAGTCACATATGGAATTATTTCTACAGATGATGGTTTAATGTGAATAAGATGGCAACATAACAACAGTGAAAGGAATTAATTCAAACAAGTGATTTTTAAAAACTGTATTGTTCTAATAGAAAGTTGTAATTTTCAATTCCACAATTAATAATGAATGATATTGTATATTTCAGCAATCCATCAAGAACCATACATTTTATTCTCCACAGAAAGAAAGACAATGTTATGTATTAATTGTTTTAGAGATATGAAAGTGTAAGTTTTTGGTCGTAAGGTGACTCCCAAATTACCAGCATTTTCTTTAAAAAAATCTTTCATTATGAGATGAGTCAGATTTAAATATGTAATGGGATAAAAGGAAATTAAATGTTATTGAGTAAATGGGAGATAAATCTTACAACAGGACAAAACATATGTCTGCAAACCGATAAAAAACATTTTATATATGCCTGTTGAAGAGGTGGCATATTATGATATACCATAGTCAATATGTCCATCCCTCAGTCCATCTGACTGCCGAACTCCAGTATGCAGCGTGATATACCATAATCAATATGTCCATCCCTCAGTCCATCTGACTGCCTCAACTCCAGTATACAGCAGATTGATTTCCCAAAAACTTTACAGTATCGTTGGGATTGATAATAGAAACTCCCTTTCGATTATTAAAATTTTCTGGTTTGTTGTTCCAGAGTCATGGGACTTGAATTGTCAGATTTAAGTTGTTTTTTTGTTTTTTTTCATGTTGTACCATGACCTGAGTTTGTTTTTATCTCTTTGATCTGGGATTGATTTACTGGAAACTTTACATAATTATTGGAAATGGTGAACATAACACACTGTTTCATTTAAAAATAATTCTGATATAAGAATAATAGACTTAAAGATTTTTTTTTCAATTTCAGGGAAAGTAGATCATATTGTGTAGACTTAGAAACAGCTTATACCCAGGGATGTAAGAAGTTAGACCAAAGCATGATGGTAGGTCACACTAAAAATGGTTTTTCAGTTCTTGCATTCTATATTTTCAAAATACCTCAGAAAATGATTTTTTATTGAAAAATGCATAAAACTTTGAATAAAAGGGACATTTGTCAATGATACAGCAACCCAACTATGCAAAAAACTGAAAGACATCAAAGGATCAAGATTTAGTATGGGTTTAAACAATAGACTGGTTTCTACTGTAAACCAACTAATTTTCGTGACTTTCAAGGGTAGAAAATAACGATTATAAAAATCTTTCTGAATATTTTAAACTTAGATATATTCCCTTATTTAGATACCTCAAATAAAATTGAAAATCACAAAATTGAATCGTGGCAAAGTGGTCTAGAAAGGGCTAATCCAGCAGAAATAAAGTATCTACGTAAATAAGTTGGTTTACAGTATATAATATGTTCAACTCTAACTAATCCAAGTCATCGTAATAGTAAAAAAATATATAGAGAGACTGTCAAAGAGCTGCCATTAACACCAAGTTCTCCAAACGACAAAAAAATATAGAGACAACCACTGACAATGTACCTGACTTTTGACAGGCACACAAACACTTTGCAGGGTTAACCTAGATTGTTTAGATCCCAACCTTTAACTTTATAAAATTGATCAGTGGATTATTAAACATAAAGGAAATGAAAGAACATACAGTAAAAATCAATACAGTAAAAGTACTTAATTATATAGATATATATATGGTATAGGATGACAAAAACAGGAGTACAAACAAAACAATGATAATACTATATATCCTATCAAAGAATGCTCACGGTCACTGAAAACAAGCTCACAGTACTAAACCAGCTGATTTGAAATCAATTCAAAAATACAATTGAAAGTTTAGCACTTAAAAAAATGTGATACTTTAATTAGTTGATCAACTGTGTTTGGTGTATTGAATTATTGTAAGGTGAACATGTCTGTCTTGAAGGGTTTATATATTACCTTGAACATATTTTCATGAATATTAATAATGTTAAAGTTTATTGGATTTTTGTAGTAAAACCTTGATCTTAAAAACTTTCAACTTACAAATTTAATCATGATATTAAGTAAAGCATACGAGACATCTTAGTGTGTGCACTCTGGTTTTTAATTTTCTTGTCTCGCTTGAATGAGATGTGCGTTGCAAAAAGATAACAGGACATGAACGGATTATTGTTCTAGCTAACAATCCACGTATAGTTGCTCTATTTAAGGGATTACTCAATTATTGGTCTGTTATTTTTGTGAGTACCATGCTTGAGTATTCCTCTGTTAACTTTGTGCGTACATTGTACCATGCTTGATTATTCCTCCGTTAACGTTTTGTATACTATGCTTGAATATTAGTCTGTTAACTTTGTGTGTACCGTGCTTTATTGTTCCTCTGTTAACGTTGTGAGTACCATGCTTGAGTATTCCTCTGTTATTGAGTACTGTAATAAGTTTGTGAGAACTGTACTTGAGTATTTCTCTGTTGCTTTATGTGTACTTATACTGTGTCTGTACTTGAGTATTTATTTTTGATCAAATGTAGTTATTGACAGTTCTGTTTGCATACACAATATTCTTATTTTGAAATGTAATTTTGTTTCCATCTTTTTCAGGCAATCAAGGACTTACAGATTTCAGTAAGGGATGCTATATTGCTGTTAAAAGTTTTACTTGAAGAAATTGAACATAATGCGGAAAAAGAAAAAACAGCAGTCACTGAATTATATGATCTATTACTGGAGAAAATAACCGAAACTAAAACATCATTAATAGAGAAGGTTGATAGGTATGAATAAGTGTTTAACAAATATATGATCAGTTGATAGAGCAAATTACTTATAAGGATGTTTGCTCCTCTTGTTTTTGATTTTTTGTCAGATATTCGGAATGCTCTGGTTTAGTCAATGTAGTGCCATTAAACATTTTGACCACTAAGCCCTACTTTTTTTTTCATAATTTTATTACATATAGTTTAAAAAGCCATATTTGAAAATCTTATAAAATCCTTGTTATTTTTTATAGTTTTTGAAAGAAAAAAGGTGCCTATGTTAATTGTATGAAAAATTTAAAGAGAATCATTTCCCGCCAAATTTTCAATGGCTTATATATCTCGAAAACAAGCACATGGACCCTTCATTTTTGTCAAGCCTTAGACTTTTGTCGAAAAGTGAGACATAGCGATCCTACATTCCGTTAGCGTCGTCGTCGGCGGCGTCCACAAATATACACTCTGTGGTTAAAGTTTTTCAAATTTTAATAACTTTCTTAAACCAGGCCATAATCTTGCCGGCGAAATGACGATTTAAGTCGCCAAAGAATTTTGAAAATCGCTAAATCTCGCCAGCCGACTGACTTCATGGCGAAGTCAAATCGCTATGAAAATCGGTAAAAGGGAGACAACTTGTGAATTACAAGTCTCCCAGGTAACAAAAATGGCGACTGACAAGGAAAATCGAGATTTTCGAAACAACCCAGAACTAATACTGTCGACGATCAAATTAGATAAATACAACGGCGACTTTGAACATCCTCGGATATAACATTCAAAATTATTTAAACGGAAAACTGACCGTCTGTTAAAGTTATCATTTTACGATGATTTTTATCTGAGGATGTTGCGTAATCACTCAGCTGATTTGTTTTATTTTTATTTATTACGAGTTGATCAAATTGTACTTCGGTAGGTTAAGGGTGGGAATTAACGGTAGATTTATTATATTCATTGAATAAAAATTGAAATATAAAAGGTAGAAAGACAGCTGATGGATAATGTGGCAAACGTACGACACTTGACCAGCTGATGGATAATGTGGCAAACGTACGACACTTGACCAGCTGATGGATAATGTGGCAAACGTACGACACTTGACCAGCTGTGATCAGTAGTGGATTTTTTTCAAGACCATTTCGTTGACAGCAGATAGGGAAGATATCTTTAAAAAATGATAGAAATTAGCTCTTTATCGTTTAATTAATATGTGATTGACAGATATTTTCATTTATAGGCTTACAATCTTTAACGAGAATCTTGCAATTTACAACTACATGTAACATGATGTCCTGGACATTCAATAATGTTTTACAAAATAATGACAAGTGGTGATATAAATTAAATTCCCAGTCATGTGAAATGCATCAGGTAAACTGGGAGTCATATTTTGCTGGACATTTAAAAATAAATTTAGGCAGATGCACACTGAATTTAATGCATCATAATATTACTAGGCATTTTATTTAAACTTAAAATGAAGTTCACAGTACAAATGGTATCAATGAATAAATAACAACTATATTGTCTAAACCTTTTTTATTAAGAACTTTCTATATATACCTTTTGTACAATAACATGAAAAAACTGCAAGTATATTTTTTATTGCATATAAAACAATTTCATTGGTGATAAGCACGAGAACACTATGCAACCGAAACGGTAATGGAATCTCACTTCTCCAAGAAATTGACCACTTCTCCCTTCTCTCTCATGGAAGGAGAAGTCACTTCTCCCTCTCCAAAATCCTAGATTAGGCCCTGCTTAAACTATCCTGGATTTCTACCAAACTTGGACAGAAGCTTGTTTATGATCATAAGATATTCAAAAGAAAATTTTGTAAAAAAAAGATTCCATTTCAGAAAGCTCGACATAGGGATAGTGATCCGGCGGCGGCTACGGCTACGGCGGCGTTAGCTAACTTCTTAAAAGCTTTATATTTTAGAAGGTGGAAGACCTGGATGCTTCATACTTTGTATATGGATGCCTCATGTTACGAAGTTTCCGTCAGTCACATGTCCAATGTCCTTGACCTCATTTTCATGGTTCAGTGACTACTTGAAAAAAAAGTTCAGATTTTTTGTAATGTTAAATTCTCTCTTATTATAAGTAGTAGGATAACTATATTTGGTATGTGCGTACCTTGCAAGGTCCTCATGCCCGTCAGACAGTTTTCACTTGACCTCGACCTCATTTCATGGATCAGTGAACAAGGTTAAGTTTTGGTGGTCAAGTCCATATCTCAGATACTATAAGCAATAGGTCAAGTATTTTCGGTATATGGAAGGACTGTAAGGTGTACATGTCCAACTGGCAGGTGTCATCTGACCTTGACCTCATTTTCATGGTTCATTGGTTATAGTTAAGTTTTTGTGTTTTGGTCTGTTTTTCTTATACTGTATGCAATAGGTCTACTATATTTGGTGTATGGAATGATTGTAAGGTGTACATGTCTATCTGGCAGGTGTCATTTGACCTTGACCTCATTTTCATGGTTCAGTGGTCAAAGTTAAGATTTTGAGTTTTGGTCTTTTTTCTAATACTATATGCAATAGGTCAACTATATTTGGTGTATGGAAATATTTTATGATCTATATGTCAGTCGCGCAGGTTTTATTTGACCTTGACCTCATTTTCACAGTTCATTGCTCAGTGTTAAGTTTTTGTGTTTTGGTCTTTTTTTCTTAAACTATAAGCAATAGGTCATCTATATTTGTTGTATGGAAGAATTGTTAGCTGTACATGCCTGCCTGACATGGTTCATCTGACCTTGACCTCATTTTCATGGTTCATTGGTCAATGTTTAGTTTTCTTGGTTAATGTTAAGTTTATGTGACAGTTGTAATAAAGCTTTATATTAAGGACTATCAACATAATATCAGTGATTAGTAAAGAAGGCGAGACATTTCAGCGTGTGCACTCTTGTTTCCGTATTTTACTTATAAATGGACTTAGTTTTTCTGCCTGGAAACATTACATTCACTCTGTGGTTAAAGTTTTTCAAATTTTAATAACTTTCTTAAACTATCCTGGATTTCTACCAAACTTGGAAAGAAGCTTGTTTATGATCATAAGATAGTATCCAGAAGTAAATTTTGTAAAAAAAAAAATCCAATTTTTTCATATCTTACTTATAAATGGACTTAGTTTTTCTGCCAGTTAACATTACATTCACTCTGTGGTTAAAGTTTTTAAAATTTTAACAACTTTCTTAAACTATCATGGATTTATACCAAACTTGGACAGAAGCTTGTTTATGACGAAAAGCTAGTATCTAGAAGGAAATTTTGTGAAAATTTTGTTCCATTTTTTCCTTATTTTACTTATAAATGGACTTAGTTTTTCTTCCAGTTAACATTACATACAGTCTGCAGTTTAAGTTTTTAAACATTTATTAGATTCATAAACTATCCTGGATTTTTACCAAACTTGGACAGAAGCAATCTACAATCAAAAGATAGTATAGAGAGGAATATTTTTATTAATTTTTTTCCTCATTTTGGTTGAGCCTGCGATTAACAGCAAAAGTAGGCGAGACACTGGGTTCCGCGGAACCCTTACAAATTTTTTTCTGCTTATTTAGTTCCGTTATTTATATAATATCAATTTATAATAGTCTTTTAAAAAGCTTGTTATTTTGAAACAGAGTAGCAAACATCCTTAAAGGAAAGTCAACAGGAACAAATAAGTGTTAAGCAAGTATACTGTACCTTTTTTGTTAGTTATGTCAAGTTCCTGGAGGGATTTTGTGTCATGAATGAATACACCATATCTTTTCTTTTCCTTTTCTGGTTTGGAAGATTTAAAAATGCATTGAATTGTTAAAAAAAAAATCTGTAACAGTTACTTTGGCTTTTAAATTTCAGAATATATAAAGCATAGTTTATCCTTCATCATGCTGATACCAGTCATACTGGTTTGCTGATTCATTGATTTGATTTGACCTCACACTTCTTTTTATTTAGAATTACCTTGAATTTTTATAATTTCAGACAATATCAAAGTAAAGATAAGGCCTTCAAAGCAGAGTTAGTGAACTTGAGTACACTGTTACCCACCTTACATACCCACCTAGTTACCAGTGCAGCTTTTTGTTCATCAGCAAACAGATTTGAGTTTCTAGACTTAGCATATGTAAGTTGAAATTAGAAATGATTACAGAATCCATCTATAATTTTGACATTTTTATGGGGGATAGAGATATATTGATAAAGAATACAACTACAGTCTAACCTCGATAAGTTGAAGTTGAAGGGACCAGAATTACAATACACTATTTGACTCATCAAGGTATGAGTAATCCATGAACGAGACTTTCATAATTGTTTGCAGTGTCAATATTGTACCTTATATTGTCAACTTGTTATGTTATAAAGGTAGAAGACATGAAGAAAGTTAAAAAAATTTGACCATTGACTTCTCCAAAATATTGGATTAAATAACTCAAGTCTTACTTTTTATTTTACAGGTATTAATGGAGAGACTTAAATCAATCATACAATTACAGCATCCACTTCATCCATCACAGGGTAGTCAGATTATCACAGACTTTAAATCCATGTTTGCTAAGTAAGTCAGTGTTTTATATGTACATGTATGTTAAATGCTATAATAAAATCAGCCCTGGTACAGATTAAGTGTCTTGTGCAATACTAGTGATGTTGCCCTCCTGATATATACAGCTCTTCAACCCATGGATAGGGAAAAAGATGTATCGGCCCATGGGTTAGTACAGGATACTAACTTCCTGTTTCAAATAATACTTCTGAGTCTCTGGGCCAAACAGATAACCTTGAATCCCTACTAGCACTTAAACAGCTGACTAAGAATATATTCCAGAACCAATACAACTAACCTTGAATATATATCAGGGATGATTCAAAAATAGCTTTGCTTTTATGATTTTTAACATATATACTTGACTTCTATTTATTTTTGCCTAGTGACCTCTAAATCATTAGTGTCTTTTTCAACCTAAGATATGCTGTCACCAAAGATTGGTGAAAATCTGATTTATAGCTCAAACGATTCTGTCTGGAAATAAGACTGTCCCTAAAAGTTCACTCTACCTTTAGTACCTTTTATCATTGTATCATTAGAGAAACAGATTCTGAAACTTTTTTCTACCTCTTAGAAACCTCACTTCTTAAAGTTTAAGAATTTAACTATCTTGAGTGGATATAAATATAGATTCTTACATTGGTACCAGTGGATTATCGGATTTATCCAATCTAGATAGTTAAATTATCAAATTTTAAAGTCAAAGCAACAAATGATATGCCTGTTACACTAGTTACCAGTGCAGCTTTTTGTTCATCAGCAAATAGATTTGAGTTTCTAGACTTAGCATATGTAAGTTGAAATTAAAAAATGATTACAGAATCCATCTATAATTTTGACATTTTTGTTATAAACCTGATTGTGTGGTAGAATCTATATATGTATAAACCTGATTGTGTGGTAGAATCTATATATGTATAAACCTGATTGTGTGGTAGAATCTATATATGTATAAACCTGATTTTGTGGTAGAATCTATATATGTATACTTTTTTTTCAGATGTTTAGAACCTCTATTGTTTCCACCACCAAAGACAACAACAATAATCACAAGTACATCTACTATAGGTTTAACTGGATCATCACTTAATTTGTCTTCATCATCTTATTCTGGTTTAAGGTAAGCAAATATATTTGACTACTATTAATTCAGAAATTTTTGCAATGTTTTTATTATTGCGAATATTGTAACTGTATAGGTTTCGCAAAAATTAAAAAATCCTATTTTAAATTTTGAAAACGTTATTTGTACAAAATTTCTTGAAACCACAGTAATTAATCTTACATTTTTATTTATTTTTCAACAGTTGCAATAATAAATGCCTGCAATATGTTCTGAATTTAAAGTATTTAAGGGTACAAAAATAAATATTGATGAGAATTGAAGTTTTCTTTTATACCCTGGATATAGATCATGAAATGGATGTATCAGTTTAATTCTCCACTCTACCTCTTGATGTCTCATGTACATTTACCCTATTAGGTAATCACAAAATAATCGTTTATATTTGAGAGTTGCCTCATGCAAGATGACGGATTTAATAAAGAAGTTTCAAATCTCATGAGTGCACAGATAAACGGTGATTAGGGATAAGGAATCTAAACCTTATGACTTTCAAAATTGCCCCCTGTAGTTCGAAATATTTGTTATCTCGTTGTACTAATAAGCACTGTGAATATTGATAGGGGTCTGAAATAATGAATTTGTAATATAAATAGGTATAGCTGGTAAATTAAATAAATTTGTATTATAAGGGAAGTAATCAGGGGATTTCTTTGAATTGAGAATTTTTTTATCTTTCACTACCTAAATTGTAAAATTATTCCCAATAGTTGTCTTATTGGGTACACAAATCCAATCCTAGATTATGTACAACATCTTGTCATGTCACATTCTATAAATTTTGGTTTTCCATACAAATACGATTTTTCCTTTGTTGATAATCTGAAAAATTTGTTTCACTTCAAGAAAATAATTGAGTGTACGAAAACCAGATATAATCCTTCTGAAACACACAATATAGGTAAATTACTAGAAAATATTGAATTATTGGTACAAGATTTAGCGACAAGAAAAAGAGCAAGGCTTGCCAAACTGTTCTAATTCCTAGCCATGACAAATAAATTTGACATATTTTTACAATAGAAATATAAATTTTCTATCATGCACTTTAATATTGACACTGAAATGTTTAATTTTATATTAATTCCATATAGTTGTCTTTTGATTGTGAAGAAATCACATTTCTTAAACATGGACAAAGACCCAAGATAAACTTTGACATAACACTAATTTTAATATTTTTGTTATTTCCTTTAGGGGATATTACATTGCTATACAATTGACCCTGTTATAAGAAGACTATACATTTTCTGTTTTGTCATTAGCTACAAGCATAGGGAATCTTTTATTGCAAACATTATATGCACTGTGAGAAAAATCATGATAGGTTAATATAACATTTGTAACGGCTAAAGTGAACCTAAATATAGTCATGGGGATTTTTTGTGAGCTATTTAAGGGATGTAAAAATAAAATGATTTTTATTGGATGACCGAATAAATATCAATCATTCAGCACTTTTGTTATAAAAGGGTTTTGATATAGCAGAAAAAGTTTAAATGTGCTCTTCGGTCAAACTTATTTTATCACAGACTTGAATTCATGGATTTGCTAAGGTCTCATTTAAGCCCATAGAAAATGTGTACTACATTGAACATTGAAATTCATGGTTCACCTTTCCCCACAGAATCCATGAAAAATTGGTATTTAGCAAATAATAATGAATCCACAGTAGATTTGTTTTGTTTTTACTTCACAAAGATATCAAGTATGTACATCTATTGTTTATATTTCAGAACCGAGTTTCCCAGCACAGTATCTGTAAACTCATCACCATCTCACACTCCACAGTATCCACAGAGGGGACATGCAGGGTATAATTCACTCAGGTTCAAACTCATAGAGAGTAAAGGAATCTTTGCTGAACACTGTGTTGAGTTTGATACTTCACATAAGGTTGGTATCAGGAATAGACATTTGTTTAAGGGTTAGGTTCCACTTGGAAAAGGAGACAGATTAAGTTTTCATTTTGACTTGATTAGAAAAAAATTTAGGAGGAAAAGGGGGTTCTACTAATAATTTGAATTTTTGAAAAACAAGAAGACAGGGTCTGAAAAATGAGAAGAAGCACTCATATATTACAAGTAATCACTGTCAAGCTGCTGACAAAATATAAAGTCAGTCTTAAGGTGGCTCAGGAGTCTTCCTCCATTTTGGATTTTGAAATAGCAGATAACGTTGGTCTAGATCTTTGATGAAATGTGCAAATTTTGAGAGTAGTATGTAATTAATGTGTAAGACTTTTAATGTAAATATAGAAAATTGTAGGTTTTATCATAATTACGGCTGCAATATCTAAAAAAAGTCTGATTTGTGTTTGATTATTTTTTTTTCAACTTTGCCAAATAAGGGGAGATAACTCAGATGAAGTAATTTTTATTATAGAAAGTGTTGTGAATTTACCTATTTGAATCTGTAGCAAGAAAACAAGTTCGGTGACCCCATTTTTTCTTTTTCTTATCTGAAAGCATGTTATAAGAGCTATTTTCTCACATTATATCTTAATATTCTATCAGGTAGTTTTCTTTTTATCACACAAAATTTGATTTTTCATGCATAATCTATACAAAATCTGACAATTTTGCACTACCTGTAGCATGAAAAAAAGTCCTGTGACCCATACTTTTTATTATATTTTTGAAAAAAACATGATAAATACTTCATTTTGACTAATTATTAAAAAATTCTATCAATTTTGATTAAGACGCCCCAGCCACCTTAAGAATAATGGACATAGGGACATAGTGATTACAATACAGCCCCACTCCTAGAGTGGTGTATAATTTACTCAGAATTGGAGCAATTAAGAACTTGACATATTGTATAGACACCTGGCGTTTTCTCCCTTTAAAAAAGTTTTTTTATGCCCCCGCCACAGCGGAGGTAGCATTAAGTGTTACCCTTGTCCATCTGTACATCCGTCCCAAAATTCTTTTCTGTTCTCTATCTTTAGTTTGCCTCAACCAAATGTTATGAAACTTATACACAATGCTTATTACCACAAAACACAGATCTAGTTTAAATTTTGGTGGTGTCACTTTTACCGTTCTAGAGTTATGCCCCTTTACAAATGGAAAAGTTGTTGAATTTTTCATTCCCTTCTCTAACTTAGTTTGCCTCAACCAAATGTTATGAAATGTAGGCAGGGGCATCATCTGTGTCCCTTGGACACATTCTCCATTTATTCTATTTGGAAAAAATAATTTTAGTTTTAAGAAATACTATTAGGGGGTAGAAGCTCATAGTTTAAAGTACATTGCATTATCAGAAAAGAACAACAAACTAATTTTATTATTCTTTTAATCTTTAATAAGAAGATGAAGTTTCAACTGTTTATTTAATTTCAGTGTAATATGTTATTTACCTTTTGATAGGAACTTTATTCCAATACTGAGAAGTTGAAGACTCAGATCCAGGAGTTACAACGAGATCTGACAGTCAGGAGATGTTTGGCTAAGATGACTATGGTTACAGAGTTAGATCTACAGATTGAATCATTGCAGCAAGGTCTACAAGAACATTTTACTAAAAACGAACAGAAACAAATCTTATTGGAAAAGGTAGGGGATAGGTGACTAAAGTGTTTCAAATTAAGACTAAATGTTTATTTAGATTCAAATATTCCATTAATGTACTTTTATACATTGTCTCTTTTTTGTCTGGTTCTTTGAAAAATCATCTCTGCCTGAATCTATTGTTTGCGTCTTGCAAAGAAATCATTGACCAAATTGCAATTTCTTCTCCTGACTCACTTACTCATTTTGTTTTATGATTATGATAAATTATATTCTCCAAAGAGTCTAGAAACAGTAATATTTGATTATATTTGCCAGTCATGACATAAATTTGGACATGAATGACAAAGACAAAAATTCAAACATTCAGAATTACATACGTTATTGTTAAATGCCCTAATGTATATTTCATAAGCTGAATTATTCAAACATAAATATTGATTTTCTACAGATATAGAAATATTTTTGTTGAGCACTTTCCTGAAACTTTTATTACCATAGAACACATTTTAAGTCGGGAGCTTGAAAATCAAACAAGTTCTGTGAGGAAACATCTTTCATTCTAGTCCATTTTTTCATCTTGTCAGTGTATTTCATCATATTTATATGATTACAGTACTGTGACAAATCAGCTAAGAGCCTACTTACATATATATGTAATTCAGTAAAATTTTCCAGACATGTAATATTTACTTCAGAAATTTTAAGCTTGTTAGTATTTTAAGTTGTGTTATAATATTTTTAGCATTGGGAAGATTCAGTTCAGAGAATAGCTACAGAACAGGAACTTTACCAAGGTTTGTTTCCAATTTTTACTTATTACAGATAGAGGCATATCTTTACTCTTTGTTTATATTTTCTAATATCCTCGGAATTTTTATTTGTTTTAACAATGAAAAATTGTGACCCTTTGTTAAAAAAGAAAGAATAATTTTTGTGAATAAAAAGATAAATTATCATCAGTGGCAAACATAGTGTCTGTAAAATTTGACTCAGCTTTAACCTTACATCCCCCTCCGTTTTTAAAGTGAGTGGCGTGTATAGATGAGTTTGTCTTTCTATAAGTCTTTGTTTGTGTGTTACTCTGTTCCATTTTTATATTGATGAATGCTTACACAGGTTACTTTATAGTTTTGTAGAACAAAGGAATAATTTATAACTTAATATGTTTACTTACACTTCCAGCACAACTACATGACATCATAAGATTAAAACAAGAAACAGAAAAGCTGAAAACTATTCTGAACAGAATGAGCTCATTCGTCTCCTCCATAGCATCAGTTACTGAAAGGATTGCACCTAAGTAAGTCTGGTATTGTTACATAAATATCCTTTATACTACTATCTTATTGGGTCTTAGGTTACCTCAAGTGAAAAATGCCTTTGGTTTTCCCCTTGCCAGGGTCAAACCAAAATTTTCTTTGTTGAGGTGAGAAAAGATCCATTATATGGATCCTGAAATTGCAAAGAATAAAAACTTCTGTAGGATATTTGAACTTTTATTAATTACTGTAAACCAACTTATTTTTTGCTTGCTTTTTAATTTGACAACTTTTGCAAGTAGGAAAATGATGTGAACATAGATATTTGCAAATATGTTAAACTTAAATCATTCCTTATATAAATACACCAAGAAAGCTTTAAAAAAAAACTGCTGTGAAGTTTGCTAGAATGGGCAAATGCAAAAGAAAGTATCTGTGAAAATTAGTTAGGATGAAAAAGTCTTGTCTTTTTGTGTCAATAGCTTAATTTCTTAAAGTTAAGATGGTATCATAAACATGTCATGATAAAAATATTAGCCCCTAAAATTGAATTCAACATATTTCTGTTGAAAATGTAATGAGCTACACCCTAATATCAAAAAGATATTTTAATCACATCAACTTCTGGTTTGAGACATCATTGAGCTAGATTTTATTTTGAGTAAGGCTGTTGATCATTAGCTCTATATTTCTTAGATGATCTCAGACTTGCTCAATTTTTGTAGATTTGATCTGATGCAAGATGTTTGAAGGCTAAATTTAGCAAGGGCTATTCCAGGAAAAATGCATGGGGTGTTGGACAACACTATTTATATCCCATCATCCTTATTTTTTATTTTCACTTGTAACAGAATTGTACTTGCTCCACCCATTTTACACATTTAAAAAATATCACACCAGCTGTCCCATATATTTTTTTGGAATAACCCTGAGACAAAATTACAGAATTTTCTAAAACCACAAAATCCTGAATTTATGAACTACATGTATACATTATGAAACAGTTATAACAACAACACTTTAGGGATTGCTGCAGTAATTTAATTCGAATGACATGTTTTAGTCAGGGCTTCCAAAATTATTTTTAGCCAGCCGGACATTTTATATATCATCCCGATTTTAATCCCTTAAGACTAAATAAATAAAAGGCAATTATGGTAATCAGTTGCCGAGTTGGCCATCCCAATGATTGACATTTAAAAAAAAACGATATTAAACTTTCTTTGATTCAAATTCGAAGTTCTGACGTAAACTATTTAATTGGCAGTGCATCATTCGAAGTGTGCAACATCAGCGTACTTATATCTGCTTAGACTCTTTATTTGTGCAAAATAACGTTGTCAAAAACTTTACTTTCGTTTTTTAAATCTAAACCGGATGTTATCTTGACAATGGTAAAGCATGGACCATCGACGGATACGTAAATTCCGTGTACGTTTGCAAAGCATGAATGAGTGTAAGTAGCTCATTCTACGTTATTTCTTCAAGAAAATATTCGAAATAAACGTGAGATAAAGGTATCAATGACAATTTAAGCATTTTTTGAAGAAATTAGGATGCATAATTAAAATTCACACCTGCGCACATGCGCACACGTGTACTAGTTCAAACAGAGACATGTCTCTGGTTCAAACAACGTGGTTATGACGATTTTTCATTTTCACCTTTTTAAATTTTTTATCAAATCATATTTGTAAACGTATTTCTTATAATTTAAATCTTTTTAACTAAATTAATTAGATGCAAACCGCTGAAATGTAAGAAAATAACTTTGAATAGACCGATCAATGTCCGGTTCAAAATAGTTTACCTGTCACCTGAACAGGTAAATTTCAGCTGTTCGACAACTAATTAGCCTTGATTAAAATGAGAAGGTATTAAAGTAGGGGTTGTTTTGATAGTACTTAATGATCATGTCACTTTTATGACCGGAAATGTGTGGCTGTTAAAGGCAAAAGGTTGGGTCAAAAAGATCGCGAATTATGTTAAAATGACCGTCTCTTAAGACTTAAGCCTTGAAAACTAAAAAGTAGATGTCCGTTTCATGCTTTGCCAAGCCGGACTTTTACCGGACATTATACAAATGTCCGGAATATATGACCGTTTTGGAAGCCTTGGTTTTAGTCCTGATAATGGTGCCCTAGGCACCGAAACATGTCAATTTAATTAAATTAATGCAGCAATCCCTAAAGTGTTGTTGTTATAACAGCTTTCACATTTTGTGTTTTTTATCGTAACAACCTTGCATACCGGAGGTGTCCACTTTATAGATTCTATTGTATTGAAGATTAACCAGATTTTGGTTCACTGTCGTTTGTAATTTTACATGTATACATTGATTCACAAACTACATGTATTCATTAATTCACGAACTACATTTTTACATGTTATCCTCAGTTAAAAAACAGGTACCCACTATATAAATGAATCTGCAGTGTGCTTCATACTAAAACATCTATAATAAAATAATGCCTTTGTACTGTATCTTTACAGACTTGGCAAGACTACTAAAGACTGTGAACATGATACTAATATAGCACAGCTATTTGAACAGATCAATACAATGAATCCAGACTCACAACACAGGTAAGTTACCTTAGGCCTTTTCAACATAATCCATTCCATAGCTGACCATACCAGAGGCTCTGAATTTGGGTGTCTACATTTCGATGTTCTTTAATGTTTTTTTGACATTTTTCTCTTTTCTTAATTTTTTGACCCATTTACATTATTCTCTATGCTGTTTATATTTTGGAATCCTTTTTCTCTAATCTTTAAATCCCATTGAGATCCTTATTATTGTTGAAGTAGCATGCTTACCTGGAATGATGCAGGATCTGGTCTTGTCAACCCAATCTTTTGCAAAATCTTTAAAATTAAGAAATGTTTGCAATGTTTTTATTAAGTCTCCCAAACGAAGTTTGGGAAGACTTATTGTTTTTGCTCAGTTCTTCTTCTTCTTCTTCTTCTTCTTCTTCTTCTTCTTCTTCTTCTTCTTCTTCTTCTTCTTCTTCTTCTTCTTCTTCTTCTTCTTCCGCCGCTTTTAAATTTGAACTTGTCCGCACCCGTTCTCCAAAACCGCTTGTCGGATTAACTTAGGGTTTCACAATATGTTAGACTAACATGTCTAGTGGTGCAATCAGGGTTTTGTTTTTGCAATGGGGTTTATAAAGGGGTACTTTGAGGGGCAAAAAGAAAAGAGGGTTTTACTATAGAACCCTATGGGATTTTATTTTTTAAAATTTTCAAATGATTATAAATTGAAAACCGTTTGTGATAAACACAAACTTTTTAATTGAAAATGTTCTAAATGATAAAGCCCATTAAATGAAATACAGGGTTAGTCCCCAGGGGTCACCCCCACCCCCTGCCATTTAAGAAAGTTCTAATACCTTGTAAGTGGTCAAGATCCCCACCCCTAAACCATATATATTCTGGTTTGTCATGCTAAGATGGTTTGAATGATATACAGGGTTAGTCCCCAGGGGTCATCCCCACCCCCTGTCATTTGAGAAAGTTCAAATATCTTGTAAATGGTCGAGATCCCCACCCCTAAACCATATATATTCTGGTTTGTCATGATAAAGCACATCAAATGTAATACAGGGTTAGTCCCCAGGGGTCACCCCCACCCCCTGCCATTTAAGAAAGTTCTAATATCTTCTAAGTTGTCAAGATCCCCACCCCTAAACCATATATATTCTGGTTTGTCATGCTAAGATGGTTTGAATGATATACAGGGTTAGTCCCCAGGGGTCATCCCGATCCCCTGCCATTTGAGAAAGTTCTAATATCTTGTAAATGGTCGAGATCCCCACCCCTAAACCATATATATTCTGGTTTGTCATGATAAAGCACATCAAATGAAATACAGGGTTAGTCCCCAGGGGTTACCCCCACCCCCTGCCATTTAAGAAAGTTCTAATATCTTGAAAGTGGTCAAGATCCCCACCCCTAAACCATATATATTCTGGTTTGTCATGCTAAGATGGTTTGAATGATATACAGGGTTAGTCCCCAGGGGTCATCCTGACCCCCTGCCATTTAAGAAAGTTCTAATATCTTGTAAATGGTCGAGATCCCCACCCCTAAACCATATATATTCTGGTTTGTCATGATAAAGCACATCAAATGATATACAGGGTTAGTCCCCAGGGGTCATCCTGACCCCCTGCCATTTAAGAAAGTTCTAATATCTTCTAAGTGGTCAAGATCCCCACCCCTAAACCATATATATTCTGGTTTGTCATGCTGAGATGGTTTGAATGATATACAGGGTAAGTCCCCAGGGGTCATCCCGACCCCCTGCCATTTGAGAAAGTTCTAATATCTTGTAAATGGTCGAGATCCCCACCCCTAAACCATATATATTCTGGTTTGTCATGATAAAGCACATCAAATGTTATACAGGGTTAGTCCCCAGCAGTCACCCCCACCCCTTGCCATTTGAGAAAGTTCTAATATCTTGTAAATGGTAGAGATCCCCACCCCTAAACCATATATATTCTGGTTTGTCATGATAAAGCACATCAAATGAAATACAGGGTAAGTCCCCAGGGGTCACCCCCACCCCCTGCCATTTAAGAAAGTTCTAATATCTTCTAAGTGGTCAAGATCCCCACCCCTAAACCATATATATTCTGGTTTGTCATGCGAAGATGGTTTGAATGATAGACAGGGTTAGTCCCCAGGGGTCATCCCGACCCCCTGCCATTTGAGAAAGTTCTAATATCTTGTAAATGGTTGAGATCCCCACCCCTAAACCATATATATTCCTATTTGTCATGTCCCGAACATTTGAATGACGTATACGGTCAGTCCCCAGGGGTTCCCCCCACCCCCAATGTTCTAATATCTTGTAAATGGTTGAGATCGCCACCCCTAAACCATATATATTCCTGTTCGTCATGTAATGAACATTTGAATGACGTATAGGGTCAGTCCCCAGGGGTTCCTCCCCACCCCCAATATTCTAGTATCTTGTAAATGGTTGAGATCCCCACCCCTAAACCATATATATTCTGGTTTGTCATGCCAAGATGATTTGAATGATATACAAGGTTAGTCCCCAGGCATCACTAATGCATATAACTTTACTGGACCAAACCAATTTTCACTGGACGTTGCCCAATGTCAGGCGACCCTGGGAATTACGAATTATGGGAGCTTCGTTTGGGAGACTTCGTAACAGCATCCTGTTACAATCATTTCTTGTTATTCCCAAAATTACAACAAGATAGGTTTCACAAAAATAAAAACTTGCATTTTAAATATTTTTATTTCCTGAAATTGTAATAATTAATCTCAGATTGTTGTCCATTGTTCACCAATCAAAATAATTATTGTACACAACATACATCATTTAGGAGAAGGAACAAATACTGATCACATTGGAATTAGAAAAGTTTGTCTGTGTAAGGTCACTTGACTGTTTTTGTCTGTTAAAGGTCACTTGACTGTTTTTGTCTATGTAGGGTCACTTGAATGTTACCTTAAAAAAAAAGGGTTTCCTGGTTATGCATGAATTACTTGTTATACCACCAAATCATAGTACGTCACATCTGGTTTCATACGAAAAAGGGTAAAAAAAAATATTCCCTTGAATTTGTCAGTTGTAGGAAGTTAACGCTGCATTTCATTGCAGAAAAATATTTTTGAGTCATAGACATATATCTTGGGAGTTTCAAAGCACCATTCTTTATATATTTGAAACAAAGATAAATTTTGCACACTTTTTTGAAAAGCGTTAATTTTACAAAAGACTAATAAGGGAGAACAAAATTAGTATTACTCCTAAAGGAAGTTAAATACCCCTTAACATTAACCATTGCTTCAGTTCTGGCAGGATTTAAATGACAGATTTTGTTTGCAAATTCCTGTTCATAGATTATTTAAAAGTACTAAAAATAAGGCTGCAATTTCCGTAGGCAATGTTGACCTAAGGCTGTCCCAGAATTAAACACATGAGAGCCTCTCAAAGTGGTTGCATTTTATTTAGTATTTTTGAAGAATTATAAGTAAAATGAAAATTTTATATGGCATGGGTTAATGGGGGTCTTAAAAAAGTGCCTCAAATCCCCTCCTCCCTGGGGGGGGGGGGGGGGTTGGACCTTTATCGGGACTCCTAGATCAGGTGATTTTAAGCTCGGGATTTCGGGATTTCACCTTTCGGTATCCGGGAATTCTTTTTTCGAATTTCAGGATGTCGGGATTTAAATTTCTTTAAATTCGGAACCTTGGGATTTCATGTTTTTAAGCCCAGGATTTCGGGATCAGGACCCCTCCGACCCCCGCTCCTCCCTCCCTTTGCATTTAAATCTAGATCCGTCCTTAGATGGTTGTGTCTGTTTGATGTTGTGTGCACAGAAGGTTATATGCTTTTGATTCAATCAACCTTCGTGGAAAAAATAGCAAACAAGACCAGAATGTATGTTCAAAATTATTGTCTTAAGTTGAGAAAACTAGTACAGCTTACAAGAAAGGGAGATAATTGATACAGCATTTATAATTTTTAAAGTACTATGTAAACAAAGTTTATTATATTGTGTGTATTTTTAGGGTAGATGCCATTAGAACTGCTCAGGAAGAGAGGGAAATACTAACAGCAAATAGACAGAATCCTTTGGATGAAGAATTAATCAAAACAAAAGGAAAGTTGAAAGCTCCTTCTGCCAGGAAGGAGGTCGGAAGGAGAGATTCTACAAAAAGGAATTCTAGAGAAGTTAAGGAAAATGTCTTGGATTCTCCCAAATCAGAAGAAAAGGAAACAATTCAAGAAAAACAAAATGGGCAAGAGAAAGAGTCAGCAAAATTGCAAAAAGACTTAAATACAATAGAAAACACAGAAATAGAGAAAAAAGATTCTACCCAAAATGTGATAGTGAATGGTATAACAGAAGATAGTATAGTAATTGATCCAAGTACTGAGAAAAAAGATGATGTTATAGATAAAAAAAGTGAAATTGAGGCTAAAAAGCTTCTAAAATTAAAGCAAAAGGAGAGAGATGAGGAAATCCTAACATCACCAACATTAAAACAAAATCAGAAAGAAGACTGTCTACAAAAATCTCTTGTGTCTCCAAACATTGATGAAAAGAATAAAAAAACTGAGAAAAGAGACAATGTTCAAAATAATAAAAGTGAAATTGAGGCTAAAAGGCTTCCAAAATCAAAGCAAAAGGAGAAGGATGAGGGAATGCTGAAATCACCAACATTTAAACAAAATCAGAAAGAAGACCGTCTTCAAAAATCTCTTTCTGCTCCAAAGTCTGAAGAAAAGAATCAACATACAGAGAAAAAAGATGATGTTCAAAATACCAAAAGTGAAGTTGAGGTTAAAAGGCTTCCTAAAACAAAGCAAAAGGAGAAAGATGAGGGAATGCTAAAATCACCATCATTAAAACAAAATCAGAAAGAAGACTGTCTTCAAAAATCTCCTTCTTCTCCAAGGTCTGACGAAAAGATTTTAAGAAATCATGATGCAATTGGCAGCATACAAATTGAATCAAAATTAGAGGGAAAACAACAGAGAAAAAAACGAAGTACTTTTGATTTTAATGATACTGAATGTGTTAAAACATCGGAATTGAATAATGATCTGAAACTTGAAAAATTATTGCATGATGATCCTAAACTTGAAAAATTATTGAATGATGATCCGAAACTTGAAAAGGTGCTAGAGCCTATTGATTTAATAAAAACTGATGATGAAGCATTCACTTTACCTAAAGATTTTGTTGCATCCACTGTGAAAGGATTTGAAAGTCACAGTTTGCAAAATTCTCCCGAAAAGGTAGATAACCCTGTCAGGAGGACAAGAAGGTCAAGGAAAAATAAACAGTCCCATCGGGACTCTCTTTCATTATTGGACACAAACTGTGATAATACTCAAAAAAGTGATATTCAGGAAGTTCCATCTGACAAAAATACACTTAATGAAACTTTAGAAGATCTTTTAAACACATCAACAGGAAGTAGCATTAGTGGAGAGCAAAATGGTATTGATCAAACTATAGAATCAAATTTATTTGAAGAAGACTATGAACATAGTACAAAATGTAATCAAGTTAAATCAGTTGTGAGAAAGTTATCAGAATCTGTTCAATGAGTGTTTCCACACTGACATTTTGCAATTACCTTGAAGGCTACTCTGTTATCCAACAAATTGGTGCTAATTATTTCATTAATCTTGTCACTTGATTGCAAAGCTGTAGTGACACACAGAGATCACATCATATGTTTTGTATTATGGTCCACGTTACAATTTGTTAATCCTCAACTCCTGGAAAACGGCCCGACAGATTTCCACCAAACATGTACAATTTCTTCTAAACATCTGCTATTTTGAAAACTGATGTTAAGGATTTTTATGACCCACCTACGATAGTAGAGGGGCATTATGTTTTTCGGTCTGTGCATCTGTTCGTTTTTCCGTTCATCTGTTTGCCCATCTGTCCCACTTCAGGTTAAAGTTTTTGGTCAAGGTAGTTTTTGCTGAAGTTGAAGTCCAATCAACTTGAAATTTAGTACACATGTTCCCTATGATATGATCTTTCTAATTTTAATGCCAAATTAGAGTTTTTACCCCAATTTCACGGTCCACTGAACATAGAAAATGATAGTGCGAGTGGGGCATCCCTGTACTATGGACACATTCTTGTTTATTTTGCATTCCAAACATTTCTCCTTTCTGCTTTAATTATTTGGAGAAATTAGGGGACGCACATTTTCATTGGAAGGCACACATTTAAAAAAAATTTATCTGATTTAAATACTCCAACATGTCCAATTTAGTTATTATCAAGCATGTCGGAAAATTAATCAAACTAGAATTATTGAAATTTGAATATGAAATAAAAGAATACAGGAACCCAATATCAAAAATATCAATTCAACATGCCTAAATCATTTTTTTTCCGGTTTGCTAATAATTTTTTAACAAGAGTTCAACCTTTTATCTGAAGAACTAAACACAGAAATCTTCTGCTCATAGATGTAAAGTTACACAAGGCCTTCAAAAATTGCTCCCTGGAGGCCTGTTTACGAGCAGTGTTTTGAAGGTAACAGACAAATGAGATTGTTCATGAAATTATTTAGGTGAAATTAACATGATTAAAGACAACTATTAAAGACAAACTATTCAACGCTATATTAGAGAAATTCAAGAAAAGGAAAAAATATAACTTTTCACTTTTATTAGTAAACAAAATCTGAATGTCTAAGTAATATAACTCTGCCTCCAAAATAGTTTACCTGTACCAATAAATAACAAATGCATAAGTATTACTGTATTACCCCTGACGGACAACAGCATGAATAGACTATTCTTCAAGAGTTAACATTAATGTCTAAAAGCTTCGCACGCAACAATTCAAGCTTGTTGATAAAGATAACAACTATTCAAATTCACAATAGAGGAAATCTAAATCTCCCTTGTAAGATAAAATGAGATTTTTCATAGAACTTATATGGCATTTTATAACTTGATGTTTTGTTTTGTTTTACAGTTATCATCATGTTCATGTTATTGATGTTTTTAAAATTCAGTTAATCCATATCAAAATATATTTGTGAGCTTAAACATTATTTCAGGTACTCTATATTGTTTAAACGAACATTTATTTTCAATATTTTGTCATTTATTTATTGACATTTTACAATCTAATTAAGATTAGTTTCGCACTTGCTCCTCATTTTGGTTCGGTCGCGTGACATATAAACATGATAAACAACCGAATGAAAATGAGGAGCAAGTGCGGAGAAATAATTTTAATTAGATTGGACATTTTAAATCTGGTTTCAAACAATACTAAATCTCCAATAAAAAAAATGGGTGGTTTTACATTCAAAGTATTTTACCTCCATCATTTGGCATTTGTGCTTTAGATTGAAATTTGCAACCTATTAAAGTTTTATTTTGACACCTTTTCTGCTCACATCTCAGACTCTGCTAATTACCATATACTTTTATATATATATACATCTTAGTTGCTCAAATCAGTGTAGCATGTTACAGTACTTATTGCACAACTTAGTGGTAGAGTTGAAGATGTAAATAGAGATGAGTAGAAAAATGATCTAAATATTGACTTCTTCTGACAAAATAGTGCTAAAAATACTGAAGATTCATTAATTTTGGTGTTGTAATGCTTTTTGCCATATTATATGCAGTATCAACACAATCTAACAAGTTGCATTGTCAGTAAGATACATATCATTATATTTTACAACCTTTAAAATAAATGCCTCCAAACATAGTGATTAACAAAAGTGTGAAATTTACTTTGTTGAAAATAACGCCTTTGTAGTATTGATATTACTTCGGATGAATTGATATTATAGTGTTTTATGTCAGAAATGAATTAAATTGAAATATTTATTTCCCTCCTTGATTCTTTGGTTTTAGTTTTACAGGGTTTAACTCCATTTTTTTATACATTCAGACATAGTATATGATTTTATGATGTTGGAAATTTAAGGCCAAATAAAATCAGATTTATAGTTTAAAGTTGTTCCAATGTCTTTTCAAGGACGTGTATACTCTAAAATATATGTCCTTGGTCTTTCCAATACAACAAAAAACTTAATATGTTGTCCCATATATTCAATAAAGATTTATTAAGAATTCTCATGCATTTTCAGTAACCAGGTAACATGCAAATCTATCTATAAAATTTAAATGAAAACAAAACTTTTTGGTGTTAATTATATATTTTTTGAAATTTTCAGCAACTATTTTGCATTATATAGAAGCTATCAACCCATGTATTCATAATATAAAACTACCTACCTATGTAGATTGATTGATGAACCCTTATCCATATATCATTATATATTTGTATCAGTAGGATGAAGAGCACCTGGTCATATGTTATGTGTAAATGATGGGAAGTTGAGATTTAGATATAAAAATAAAGAGATGTGGTATATTGCCAATGATACAACTATCCACCGGAGTCCATTTGACATTGATGTAAGCAACTATAGGTCACCATACAGCCTTCAACAATGAACAAAACCCATGCTGTATAGTAAGCTTTGCTCTATAAGAGGGTCTTGATTGGGGCCTTCATTTCTATATATTTAATTTTTTAGGCCAATTTTCTCTATTCTTTATATTTTTTTTGCCCATTATCTCTATTCTTTACATTTTCATGATTTTAGCACCACATTATTCTCTATTCTTTCTTTTTTCTTTTTTTTTTGGTCTATTTTTCTCTATTCTTTATATTTTTTGCTCATTATTCTCTATTCTGTAAACACCCTCCTATAAGGGCCAACATGACACAATGTGAAACAATTCAAACAAGAAAAACCAACAGCCTGATTTATGACAAATCAATTACCGGTAATTAAAAACTAATATGACAGACAACAATATAAACATGATAGGTTAAAGTGATATGTAAATGTTGACAAACAAATACCTAGATCTCTTGTCATCTGAGGCACTCTTCCCACTTTAAATTAAATGACACAAACATTAGTTATTCAGGCCTTGTTAAGATAGCACAACCCTGTGTCTGCTACTCTCCCAGGAGGGTTATTATTTCCTCGGTTACTCACATGGAGCAAAAGTGAATTCTGTTATTAAGAAACCTCTTTTTTATGCCCCGCCGTAGGCAACGAGGCATTAAGTGTTACTCTTGACCGTCCGTTTTTCCGTCCATCCGTCTGTCTGTCCCATTTTCGTTTCTGCATTCTTAGTTAAGTTTGCCTGATGCAAATTTTAAGAAAGTCATACACAATGCTAAGAACCAACCAAAACAAGCAGACAGAGTTCGAATTTGAGCAGTGAGTGACTTGCGGTTGTAGAGTTATGCTCTTTTATAACTTGGAAAATTGCGATGTTTTTCATTTCCGCACTCTTTTAACTTAAGTTTGCCTCATGCAAAGTTCGAATTTGGGCAGTGAGTCGCTTTCCGTTGTAGAGTTATGACCCTTTTTAACTCAGAAAATTGTGAAGCTTGAGCTGGGGCATTTGTTTCCTCAAACACATTCTTTTATTTATTTCTAGTGTCTCCTTTTACGAAATTCCAACATGAATAGATTATAATCATTGAATTAATTAAACTTAAAGGTATTAATTCCTTAACATTTAAGTGCTCTTAGAATAACAAAAAGTCAGAAAGGAGTGAATCACTAGTGTAAATACTGTGATCTATCAGATATAGATATTCCTAATTTTGATTGTATTTCAAAAGCTAGAGAGAGAAAAAAAAAGAGCAAAGAGGTAAAGTGGAGGTATTATAGTATATATTAAAAAGGAAATAGGAAAAGGAGTTGCGCGTATAAAAAATAGATATCTAAATCTTCAAACCGGATGTGGCTGAAGTTAGATAAAACTTTTTTTGGTATAGATGAAGATTTATATGTGTGTGGCATATACATACCACCATTTAATTCTCCACACTATAACAATAAATATCAGAACCTTGAGTCAGAAATTAGTATATTAGCAGGAAAGAGTAAGATTTTAATTGCAGGAGATTTTAACTCCAGAGTATCTACTAGTCCTAGCTAACTTTATTATTCATGATGACAATAATGATAATTTATCACACTTGTTACCAGATAGTTATAAGTCAGATTATATTTATGAGATGACAAGGATGTCACTAGATAAATTATTTAACTCCCAAGGGAGACAACTTTTGGATCTCTGTGCTGCTGCCCAACTCAGAATATTAAACGGTCGATTTATAGGAGACATTTTGGGTAATATAACATGTTTTAATACAAAGGGTTGTAGTGTTGTAGATTATGCAGTTGCAAGTATGAGTCTACTCTCTTCAGTGAAATATTTTAAAGTCAAAGATCCATCACCATTCTCAGACCACTGTCAATATTGGTAACTTATATAACATGTAATTTCCAGAAGTGTTAATATCAAAACAAATATATAAAACAAGAGTTTGATTATAAATGGACTAAACTATGTAAAAAGTTGTTGTAAATGGAACTGGCTAAAACAGATATTCATGATGTTATAGCCAGATTTCAGACTAACAAATTTTGAGAAAATACCAGAAGGAATAAATCTTGCAAATAATAAAATATGTAATATATCTACTAATCTATCAGATAAATGTATGATAAAAAATTGTGACAAAGAAAAAAAAATAAAGCACCATGGACAGATACTGAATATCTGGAATTAAGAAAAACTGTCAAGTAAGTTAAACAAAAAACTAAAATTATCTTCCTTTGACCACGCAAACATTGAAATTAAAAAAAATTATTACTGTAAACAATTGATCTGAAAAAGGCCTACAAATTTAAAAGAAAACAATATAAACAGAAAATATTAAAAAAGTTAAAAACCTTTTTCCAAAAGAAAGTAAAGAACTTTGGAATATTATAAAAGGAATAAATGAAAGAAAAGCAGACTCTAATAATTCACCACTTGTTGATCTTAATGTGCTAGCTAAACACTTTAAAACTCAAGGACAACCAGACATTATAGATACAAATTCAAAAATTTAATCTCTAATGAGCAAGAAAACAGAGAACAAAAACTAAATGAAAAGCAATCAGATGACCCTATAAAGATATCTGAAATAAATAATGTTATTAAGTCATTAAAGAATGGTAAAAGTACTGGACCAGATTTAATTTGTTATGAAATAATAAAGCACAGTAGCCAAGTGATGTTAACTACATTAACTAAATGCTTTAACCTAATATTAGATAGTTCAATTTATCCAGATGAACGGAATAAATCATATTTAAAACCTATTTTTAAACAGGGCGACATACCTAACCCAGCTAATTAAATGGGTATTTCCCTAATGAATTGTTTAAGTAAGATATTCAATTCAGTTATAAATAATAGAGTGATAATATTTTTTATTAAAGACAAAATGAATTCATCACAATTTGGATTCAGAAAACAGAACTTCAGATAGTCTCTTTATCTTAAAAACTGTTATTAATGAATATGTAAATAATAAAAAACAAAAAATATTTGGATGTTTTGTAGATTTGAAGAAGGCATTTGATTCAGTATGTTCTCTCACTAAATAATACAAAATTTGGTGACTATGTTGAACGAATCCTATCCCATAGATATAGAGATAAAGGATACTACAGATACAGTTAAGTCTGCCTCATATCTCGACTTACATCTAGAAATTGACAATGAGGGTCGGTTGAAAACAAAACTTTACGACAAAAGAGATGATTTCAGCTTCCCAATTGTGAATTTTCCATTTCTATGTAGCAACATTCCAGCAGCGCCTGCATACGGAGTATATATCTCCCAATTGATACGATATTCCCGGGCTTGTGTTTCCTATCATGATTTCCTTGATAGAGGATTGCTGCTCACAAGGAAGCTATTAAAACAAGAGTTCCAAATGGTGAAGTTGAAATCATCCCTTCGTAAACTTTACGGACGCCATCACGAGTTGGTTGACCGTTATGGAATAACCGTTTCACAGATGATATCGGATATGTTCCTTATATCGTAACTACAATACCCTTCCCTTTTCACGAATGTGACTTACCGAATTAGACTATTTACCGGATTTGTAATCACATAAGCAACACGACGGGTGCCACATGTGGAGCAGGATCTGCTTACCCTTCCGGAGCACCTGAGATCACCCCCAGCTTTTGGTGGGGTTCGTGTTGCTTAGTCTTTAGTTTTCTATGTTGTGTCATCTGTACTATTATTTGTCTGTTTGTCTTTTTATTTTTGGCCATGGCGTTGTCAGTTTGTTTTCGATCTATGAGTTTGACTGTCCCTCTGGTAGCTTTCGTCCCTCTTTTTTTTTTTTTGGAGACTAGGCCTTTTATATAAATTAATGAAGACTGATAATATTCAACCTAAACTGTATAAAGTGTTAAAACATATGTATGAGCATACTGAAGCTTCAGTCAAATATAAAGAAAACATATCTGATTCTGTATTTATAGAAAGAGGCATAAAACAAGGTGACAGCCTAAGTCCTAATCTTTTTAATATATATATAAATGATCTTCTATAAATTTTTGACAAGGACTGTAAACCAGTCTCACTTAATAAGATGCCTTTGAATTGTCTTATATTTGCGGATGAATTGCTTTTGTTGTCTGAAAGTGCTGAAGGGTTACAGAAGTCATTAGAGAATCTAAGTAACTATTGTAAAAAATGGCAGCTGTCAATAAACATAAATAAAACCAAAGTGATGATATTTCAACAAAAAAACATACCATACACTAAAACAGAGTTTACCTTGGATGGATGTAAATTAGAAAAAGCATTAAAATATAAATATTTAGGTAATATAATAGAGGTTTCAGGTAAATTCCACACCTTCCATTTGGAACTCTCAAAAAAAGGTACAAAAGATCTATTCAGTATGTTTAAATTTTTGAACAATATAGAAAATATACCTATAAATATACATAAAAAACTTTTTGAATCTTTATTTAAGCCAATGTAATGTATAATTCAGAAATTTGGTATATGGACTTCTATGAAAAAATATTTAAAATCTCAGAGTAGAGCAGCAAATAATAATAAGGATTTTGATTTACTAACCTCTATTGATAACAGCTTTATTGAAAAAGTGAGTTTAAAATTTTGCAAATCAATTCTAGGTTTAAGTAAAAAAGCAGTAAACATTACGTCAAGGTCAGAGTTAGGACACTATCCAATAGATGTATATGTTAAAGTACAAGCACTAAATTATTTAGCAAGAATATCTAACATTGAAGTTAATCCTTTGTTATATGATGCATATTGCACAACAAAACTATTGGAAGAAGCAGGAACTTATTCTTGGTATACATTTGTCAAAAATATAATTCATGAAAATAATATAGAATTATCAGAGATGGAAAATATTAACTTTATACAAGAAAAATATAAAATAAATAAACACATGTAGGAGATTACTGGTATACAAGAAAACTATAAAAAGTTGTTCTTTAAGAAATTAAACTCTTTAACAGAAAATAATATATTATATATTTAAAGTAAAGTTAAAAAGATTTATGAAATTGAACCATATTTAAAATAACTTTGAAACCAGGAAATACTTTACTAAATTAAGAGTAAGTGACCATATTTTGGAAATTGAAAAGGGGGAGGTACAGAAACGTAAACAGAGAAGAACGCTTATGTCAATATTGTTCTTTAAATAAAATAGATGATGAATATCATTTCTTATCTAATGTAAACAAAATGAAAACTTGAGACTTAAATTCTTAAGTAAAAGTAAAAATATCTATTCAAATATAGATGAGATGGATAAATTGGATAAATTGATGTTATGTCTTTCATGTCCGTCAGTTATGCGGTATGTGGCTCCATTTATTAAAAAGTCCTGGTCACTGAGGAGAATGGATTCAACAACTGCATGATATCAGAGACATATAATACAATTGTGTCTCTGATGATATGTTCATATATGAATTGATGTTTTTTTTTATTATTTTTGTGATGTATTATGTAATGTGTTATTTTGTTTTCATGTATGCCATCAACCCCATTGGGGTATAATAGTGCATTATTTTCAATTATTTTCAATAAATTATATATACTAGTAAACAGTCAGGAACCTGATGTTCAGTGGTTGTCGTTTGTTGATGTGGTTCATAAGTGTTTCTCGTTTCTCGTTTTTTATATAGATTAGACCGTTGGTTTTCCTGTTTGAATGGTTTTACACTAGTCATTTTTGGGGCCCTTTATAGCTTGCTGTTCGTTGTGAGCCAAGGCTCCGTGTTGAAGACCGTACTTTGACCTATAATGGTTTACTTTTACAAATTGTGACTTGGATGGAGAGTTGTCTCATTGGCACTCATACCACATCTTCTTATAAAGTTTTTAAAACATTTTTTAGATTCATAAACCATTCTGGATTTTTTCCAAACTTGGACAGAAGCTTCTTACAATCAAAAGATAGTACATGTATCTATAAGAAAAATTTTTATAATTTTTTCCCCATTTTTGTTGAGCCTGTGACTAGCAGCAGAAGTAGGCGAGACACTGGGTTCCGCGGAACCCTTACAAATTTTTTAATAGTAATTGTCTTCTTTTAGTTTAGAGGACCCACAACCTATATACATATCTAAAGAAACAATTACTTTTAAACTGTATGATACATGTTTTAGGGGATCCACAACCTATATATATATATATATATATAGATTGCCTAACAATGTAATTTTAACACACTATTTAGTATGTAAATATAAGAATGTTTAAAATATTTACAAAATGATGAAAATAAACGCAATATTTCGCTAGACTAACTAGCTTTATCAAGCGTGCATCTATCCAGGTGAAATCGGATGTAGATGATAAGAAACTTTTGCAGCTCAATGTATATGTTGCACTTGAATTTAGCTGCCTTGAAAATAATACATAATTTGGATGAAGTTCAAGATTTTTACAAAATTGGTAGTTGAAGTTAGCAACGTCCATTGGCCAATATTACAGGATAAAAAGGACGATGCTGTGTACTAAATTATTCTTTATCTTTCCTGTATCTTTTCTCATCTTTTTCGTTAAGACCATCAGGTTCTAAAGTGTGGAGTTGGTGGATCCAAAAATTTTCTCTTCTCCTTCTCGCCGTGGTGTCCCACTCGGTGTTGACTTCTATGATTTGGAAGGTAGAAGTCAACACCGAGTGGGACACCACGGCGAGAAGGAGAAGAGAAAATTTTTGGATCCACTAACTCCACACTTTAGAACCTGATGGTCTTAACGAAAAAGATGAGAAAAGATACAGGAAAGATAAAGAATAATTTAGTACACAGCATCGTCCTTTTTATCCTGTAATATTGGCCAATGGACGTTGCTAACTTCAACTACCAATTTTGTAAAAATCTTGAACTTCATCCAAATTATGTATTATTCTCAAGGCAGCTAAATTCAAGTGCAACATATACATTGAGCTGCAAAAGTTTCTTATCATCTACATCCGATTTCACCTGGATAGATGCACGCTTGATAAAGCTAGTTAGTCTAGCGAAATATTGCGTTTATTTTCATCATTTTGTAAATATTTTAAACATTCTTATATTTACATACTAAATAGTGTGTTAAAATTACATTGTTAGGCAATCTATAATTTTATTTGTGTAATTGAATTAATCTCTGTACTGATTAATCCACACTCCCATAGATTTGTATGTCATGTGCTGCTATTTATAGGCACTTATATATATATATATATATATATCTATATATATATATATATATATAAAATCATAGGTTTGAACGTTGTTTTCAATTTAGACTTGTTTATATTTTTTCGTTTGGGCTTGTATTATATTTGCCTTCGGGTTTATATGATCCGTTCATCCTATTTTGACTCTTTCAAAATTCAAGAGTCTATCCTAAATTGAGGTAAATTATATGGCCTTCCAAATACCGTTTCGATTCCTAACATCACTGAAGAGACATTAATTGTCGAAATCCGGATATGGTGTACAAATTTTTGCACCTCATGTTTGCGGTATACCATCTTTTCCGCAAGTTTATTGTTTTCTGTTTGGTAATAAATTATCAAAAATAAGATCTATTTTGTTACATCTTGTGATTCGTTTATTTGGCAATCGCCAATGGCAGTCAGCAGGGTTTAAGAACATCAGTTGTTCGACCTGCTAGTCAAATGCGTTTTGTTAAAATATTCTTTTTCACTCATTTGGTCTTTTGGAAAATGTGGTTTGTGCTGTATTTAGACCCCTCAACCAAGAAATTTGTTTTGCATGCACACGTATAAAAATTGCGGTTTTTATCCAACGCAATCATAGGTTTGAACGTTGTTTTCAATTTAGACTTGTTTATATATATAAAATTATATATATTAGTTATACTACAAAACAAAACGTATTTTTGTTATGAGTCCCCTCATTATTTATGACGTTTAAATTCCCCTAAAGTAAAAGAAGGCCAATGTTTCTTTTTCTTTTTTTAATGGGAAAAATTACGTACTGTTAGAGGCCGGCGAGCCTAAAAATGTGACAGTTTCCCCACCCAAGATTTTTCAATTTATTTGGACAGAGACATTATATTATATGTCTCTGATTTGGATGTGCTCGCAATATGGGACATACTTTAATTGTCTCCAAAATGCAATTTAGTAATTATCTTTTTCAATCAGACCGATCGATCGGTCTTGTGACTTATTTCAAAATACCTGTCATGTGATTTTATTTATAACTTATATATATCATACAAATTAAATACCCCTTGTGATCTATTTTTAAACCGTACAGAGTTTTTGAACCCGCGTATCAAGGATCCTTACTTGAATAAGAAATTTCACATCTATGGATGGTTTCATTGCAAAAGATTTGTTTCAAATGACGTACTGATCGCGATTACGAAATTGGATGTTTACTTTTAAATAAAAGTTCCGAAACTGACCTATATTTTACCTGTATACATTTCTAACCAATACATCAAGATCACCAGTAGGAAGTTTTCAGGTAAGAATTTCATCGTAAACTCTTTGATACAATTAAAATTTAAATAATATTTAATTAATAACTGTCAAGTTATAGTTATCGCCTTTTTTAATTTTATGTGATCACTGGTCAGTTTTAAACTAAGTGGGTTTGTTAGTTTAACACATCCACACACACACACAGATATATATATATATATATATATATATATATAAGTCTGAAAATTACACCCAACAGTGTTAGAATTAGACTTTTATGCTGACAAATTTTTGTCCCTCAACGGGATTCGAACTCACACCTTTGATACACTACAGCACCAATCGCTTAGCCTCATGTCCAGCGCTCTAGACCACACGACCACATCCGCTATAAAATATAACTTCAATAGTCGTAGTGTTACCTTGTCACGTAAGGCGAATCTAGAGATAGACATAAGACATGTGTTTTAAGCGTGTGAAGATGTTATATTATTATTTAATACACAATGTATTTGTTATTTGTCAGCAATCTAACTCAACAATTGTTATATACCGTATGGGATAATGATTCAATTCATTATACAGTCACTAGAAATAAGTATATCATACAAACAAGTCTAAGCAAGTGACAACCATACAATATATATGCCCACTGGATCTCAGTGTGTTTGAGACACAGGGTTAATACAAATATTTATATAAGTCTGAAAATTACACCCAACAGTGTTAGAATTAGACTTTTATGCTGACAAATTTTTGTCCCTCAACGGGATTCGAACTCACACCTTTGATACACTACAGCACCAATCGCTTAGCCTCATGTCCAGCGCTCTAGACCACACGACCACATCCGCTATAAAATATAACTTCAATAGTCGTAGTGTTACCTTGTCACGTAAGGCGAATCTAGAGATAGACATAAGACATGTGTTTTAAGCGTGTGAAGATGTTATATTATTATTTAATACACAATGTATTTGTTATTTGTCAGCAATCTAACTCAACAATTGTTATATACCGTATGGGATAATGATTCAATTCATTATACAGTCACTAGAAATAAGTATATCATACAAACAAGTCTAAGCAAGTGACAACCATACAATATATATGCCCACTGGATCTCAGTGTGTTTGAGACACAGGGTTAATACAAATATTTATATAAGTCTGAAAATTACACCCAACAGTGTTAGAATTAGACTTTTATGCTGACAAATTTTTGTCCCTCAACGGGATTCGAACTCACACCTTTGATACACTACAGCACCAATCGCTTAGCCTCATGTCTAGCGCTCTAGACCACACGACCACATCCGCTATAAAATATAACTTCAATAGTCGTAGTGTTACCTTGTCACGTAAGGCGAATCTAGAGATAGACATAAGACATGTGTTTTAAGCGTGTGAAGATGTTATATTATTATTTAATACACAATGTATTTGTTATTTGTCAGCAATCTAACTCAACAATTGTTATATACCGTATGGGATAATGATTCAATTCATTATACAGTCACTAGAAATAAGTATATCATACAAACAAGTCTAAGCAAGTGACAACCATACAATATATATGCCCACTGGATCTCAGTGTGTTTGAGACACAGGGTTAATACAAATATTTATATAAGTCTGAAAATTACACCCAACAGTGTTAGAATTAGACTTTTATGCTGACAAATTTTTGTCCCTCAACGGGATTCGAACTCACACCTTTGATACACTACAGCACCAATCGCTTAGCCTCATGTCCAGCGCTCTAGACCACACGACCACATCCGCTATAAAATATAACTTCAATAGTCGTAGTGTTACCTTGTCACGTAAGGCGAATCTAGAGATAGACATAAGACATGTGTTTTAAGCGTGTGAAGATGTTATATTATTATTTAATACACAATGTATTTGTTATTTGTCAGCAATCTAACTCAACAATTGTTATATACCGTATGGGATAATGATTCAATTCATTATACAGTCACTAGAAATAAGTATATCATACAAACAAGTCTAAGCAAGTGACAACCATATATATATATATATATCACACATTTAAATAATATATATAATATATATGTAAGTTTTTCTTTCACATGATGGTTAGGAATTCAACTGGAGATGTTTCTTTAATACTAGTATGTATATTTTTTTTTCTAGATATTTAATTCACTTTGAAAAGAAAAGATGCTCTGAATTTCTCTTTAAGACAAAATCGATCTCTAATACACATTAGGTTCAAATACAATTATCATTGTAAAGCTAAGGGGATTATAGATTAATAATATAGATGTTCATCGTATTACACCTATTTATGATAGATACCAAAGGGACATTCAAACTTATAATTAAGTCGAAAATAAACTGCCAGCGCCATGGCTAAAAAAGAAAAAGACTAACAGACAAACAATAGTACACAACATAGAAAACTAAATACTGAGCAACACGAATCTCACCAAAAACTATGATGTTTCTAATTGTCTAGCGGAAAGTATTACAACTACAGGGCATTTTCCATGTGTTTTCAGGACGAAATTATATGATAATCTGATATGAATACGAACGCTGAATTCTTTATACTTGACCCACGGATAGCCCTTGAGGATTATGTACCCTTTTGTTGTTTCAATGGTAAACTTATGGAAATTTCATTGAAAACCCACAGCCTTTTCACTTGTACTCTAATATTTGACATTTCGATGCTTAATAGATAGAGGATTATTTCATGCCGTGCTAGCAATGATTTCCCTCAAATAAGTGTATAAATAAAAATCTTGGCTTTATTTGCCACATAATCCCCATTTGCTATTAGATGCAATGAAACAATACATACTAGTGCTTTGAGCGTATTTTCCCATAGGTATATGTACAAAATGGCATGTCACTTTTATTCTGTATTTTTGCTGTTTTGATATCATAGCCCTTCTGACAAAACGATAACCGTTTGGGGTTTTTCTTTTCTGTTCCAGGTGCAAATCAGCAGTATAGAAAAAGAATTTCAGTATTATCATTGTTTTTACAAAAAAAATCTGTTCTGTATTGATTTAAAAAATGCGGATCAGCATTCTAGAAAACAGTTCAGTTTTTTTTAACCCCCAAAAAAACATTCTTTATTAATTTCTAAAAATGTCAAAGTCTTTTTCCCGGCGCTTAATTTTCTTAAGGCATCAACGTTTGTTGAATTCAGTTAATTTCTTACATATAGCTCATTCACAAATATAGTATTGGTAGACAGCATTTTCTTTTTAGATCTATTCTAAATTAATTGATTTGAGCTACTTTATACAACTACTTTGTTTCAAATTTAAGACTTAACACATTCGAAATTTAACTCGCTCGAACTTGTCTTTTTACATTATTCACACTGAAAATTGGCCTTAGCTTTTTACATCAATGATTATTTAAGTAAACATGAATGCAAGGAGATGTGAGGTAAACGTCAATTAGACAGCAACACAACGACACAAATAGAAAATACAGTCTAAAGAACAACATTAGGTCTTCAACAATAGACAAATGTCTGTACAATATATTTATTTTAAATCTTTAAATCGACCCAAGTCTACAACATGGGCGGATCCAGGAGTCTTGGAAGGGGGACGGTAATTCCCGACAATTGAATAGTATACCACCGGACGGAGCGATATTTAACTAATTTATTTTTAGAACTCAGCTTCCCCCTTTAAATCCGTCTGTTAGTGGAATAACTAACAGTTATGTCAAAGAACTTACTACCACAGAAAAAAATTGAGAATGGAAACGGGGAATGTTTCAAAGAGACAACAACCCAACCAAAGAGCACAAAACAGCCCAAGGCCAGCAATGGGTCTTCAACACAGCGAGAAATCTATTTAGGAACAATAATTAAACATATAATAGCTATAACCATTACATTTCAGGGGATATAGATATAATTATACTTATACAGGAAAAGAATTTACTTTCATAATACCTGTAAAATATTTTTCTATGTTTTTATTTTCAGAATTAAATTAAAACAAAGATGTCTAACGCAGTAACCTCACAACCAGGTAAGTTACACACATTTTAACACAAATACACACGTAATGAACCAGTGGCGGATCCAGAGGGGGGGGGGCGTAGAGGGCGTACGCCCCCCCTTTGCTTGCACTTTTTTTTCTTTCTTTTTTTTTTGTAAAATGATTAATCAGACTAAGACTTCGTGAACTTTGCAATTTCCCGCGTATTTAATTTTTATGCGACAATTCTTTACTTATAAAGATATGTTTCGCTCGTATTTACTGTAATATATTATTGATTATGTCAAAATCATGTGATTCGCTACGGTGGAGTTGACCAGTGCGTCGAAAAAACGTCACTCAGTCATTTTGAAATTCAAATTACAGTAACACATTGCTTAGGCTGAGGATGACAAGCATGACATCTTAAAAGCGACAAAGGATTGAGCAAGAACGTATTTAGTGACTTCTATTTCACAACTCCACCAAACAGAAAGTAATACTCTATTACACTCTCATGAAAAAGTTCCACAGCAATATTATTTACCTACGAAAACATGTTTAACCCCACACGCCCCAGCCTATTAATAACATAGCTGAATAATGATCCCCAGTCAATAAGCTCTAGCTAGATTTAAAGTCTAAGGTACGGACCATTTGATTTGAGGGGGCAGTCTGAGATATTTGCGAGAGAAATTCTGACCCTGATTTTTGCCTTAAACAAAAATTCTGGCCGTATCTGGATTGAAAACAATAATCTTGTCCACTTTTTTGCTATTAGAAACAAATATTTCCAACAGAATTATTTAGCATTAAATGAACATGATATAAAAAAACGGGCGTAATTTATTTTGGGCCGGGGGTTTGCATGTAAATCCCATATCTGACCGGAATGTCTGTTTCGTCGAACTGATAAAATGAATACTTTTTTCAAGGCCCGACTGCAACCTGCCTGCTGGGTGTGGCCTTTATGTCTCCATTTGTCGACCGTCATTCATAAATTCGTTGTCATTTCAGACTCATTCGTAGCCTTTGGTTGATTTGGAACCCCTCACTTCCCTTGTTGGGTGAAACATTTCAACCAAACATTTGGATAAAAATTGCTTGTTTGTCTTTCTTAACTCCTGTCGGTCGTATTGTAAATTTCATTGAATAGCCCGGCGTATATCTTGTTTACAACAAGAAATCCGTGAGGTTATGCTAACTAAACATACAACAAACGAGAATTTTCCATGTCAATTTTTTACTGACAAGTCCCACATCAAATATATTAGTACATAGCTTTGGATCCATCCAATCATTTTATAATAGACAATTAATGGGGAGAATACGGCATCAAAAATGTCCAACCCTTACACTTTAACTATAAAATATACATGCCCCACGTCAGGAACCGTTAAAAAAGTGCATTTTACACTTATTTTATGTTTTTTAGCCAAAAAAAGGTCCAAATTTTTTTTTTACATACTTCGTCCTCCCTTTCCAAAATCCTGGATCCGCCCCTGTGAACCATCATTCAATATCATACTATGACGAAAAGCAGCAGAGGGAACATTGCACTAATATGCGAATACAATTATTTCTTCTCGCAACCGTTTGAACATGGAATCTTAATTTTGCTTTGCATTTATGAAGATATATCCGTATTTGGCAGGTATTTACTAAAAGAGTTTATTTAACAGCATACGTACAACCAAGGCTTAAGCTAAAACCGTCTTAAGAAAAAAAAGAATAGGTTATTGTCCGGTCGATGCTTTATAGAGACGAATACAAAAGTCTGTAAATCAAAGGATAAAGTAGATTTATTAACATGATTTATATATTCAACAATGTAAATTCTCATAAACATTTGTCGATAAGCTTTACTCTGTGCGCATTTGAATAGATTATGACAAGCCGAAAGACTAATAAAAAATAATTCCGTACAATAAATAAATCAAAATAATATATACTTAAAAAAAATGTTCGATATTTCAATTATACTTTTTTTTTTATTTTGGAATCCATTGGACCAAAAAAGAGACCTTTTGATACCTTAGCTTACATTTATCTTTCTAACTTTACTTATAAGTTACTGTGGCAAACATCTTGTCATAGTTCTTAAACATACTTGCAACATAATTTCGGGTACATTTGTAGCTGACTATACGGTAAGGGTTCCACCCAAGCGGACCGTACAACCACCTTTACTTTGCTTTCATCCACGCTTTTTGGATTTTGGTGGATAGTTGTCTCATTCACAATTTTACCAAATCTCCGGATTTTTTTATTGCTTTTTGAAATAAGATAAAAACGTTTTCAGCAACCTTGTCTAGCTATACAGGCTACATGACTCGGTACACAAACAAAGCATTATGTACTATATTCTAACATATAGATACACATTATAATTGCGTACTTGAGGCAAAACGTTTGCTCAACATTGGAATTGATCCAAGTATGAATAGTTATTCATGTGTTTATAGTTTACAAATATTTAACTAATACATGTACATGATTAGAATGGCAAGCTTAAACTACACCCGGATCAAACCAAATGCAGTGGTCATTTGTATAGGTGTATTGCTGCGAGGATCGATAACGTCGTGAAGTAAACTTATCATTGTACACTAGTCGAGTATGTACACAATATGACATGGCGCTAAAGGTTTCTTTAACATTGTCGTGTTGCTATAACCTGAACCTCAACATTCCTGAATGTATGTTTCCACCCAGCCATAGTTAGTACATAATATATTGACTCTTCCCAGGGCAGGTCATAGTAAATGTTAAGTACATGTAAAAGGCCATTCTGAACATTGGTGATAAAGGCAATTTAGTATAATTCAACAGTATTTCTCAATTTGATATGATTTGAGTTTTCTTAAACAAATCCTGATGTACTAACTTTAAGGAAATCCTTGAAAGATAAAAAAGAAACAACTAAAAGATGCACAGACCACAGTCCTAAAACATAACTCTTATAAATCGGGCGTGCAATTAGGAGCTCCTGAAAGCTTAAGCATTTTTTGCTCCATATTGACATCCGATGTGTTACGTGTACATTTTAAAATACTGCTATTAAGTTATGAAAACAAAAAACGGGACGGGACAGTAAAAACATACGACAAACCGCGAACACATTTGTAAAAGCAATTTCCATAGCGGTCAATCAAGTTATTATTTGCTTGAATAAAAGGAGATGTGAGGCAAATACATTTAAAATGATAAAAAAATCCGAAATCCACAAATACAAAAACAATAGACATACAGTCTTGTAGAACGATAAGATCGGTATGGAAGACCGTCAATTTACGTACTCATTCAAAACTATGTACTTTAATGAACCAATTTAAAGGAGACACCTACCCTTATGTTTTAGCAAAACTTGTATAAAACCACTTCTTTCGATGCCGCCCTATAGGCATTCTCATTTTAAAAAAAAAAGAAATAAAATATCTTTTGAATATATCAAACTACATATACATTGACTAGTCCTAGGAGAGGCCAGGTTTGCTGGATATTCCTCAATTGTAGGTGAGTAAAATATCAGTTTAAATACCCACTTACACGGAGAAACATTTGCTTTGGATACTAAACAAATGCTTGCCTTTTCCTAAATATAGGTCACTGGAATTGTACATAATATCTTTAAAAAGTATTGTTTATTTTACGTTGATAAGATTTTGATTAATAACAGGACATATTGGATACAAAACAATTGAGTTTATATTCACAAAGATGATGATATTTGTGCACTTTCTCTTATTTTCCAATTAAAAAAAAACCCCTAGTAATATACTGAAAAATTAATTAAGCAATGCGCTAAATTTAAATGGTATGTCAAGTTTTAATTAAAAAGATACAGTTAATACCACAATGTAATTAATTATAAATATGTTAGATTCAGTCCGATATTTACCAGTATCATGGAAACAAAACAAAGATCTATAATTAATATTACCACAAACATTAGTGGAGTCGGTTGATATTTTTTTTTTTTTTTTTGTTATTTTTTTTTTGTGAAAAAGAAAGACGTTGACTGCACAGGATCACGATTGCACACAACATATTCCATTCCGCTCAACCACTGCCTATGATTCTTTCCTGCACTTGATTGTTAGTCAGCATATTCATAAGAATATCCTGTAGTTGACTGACTCAGACACACCCTTGTTTTACGAAGGAATCGAATGTTTACGTTGTTTTAAATATCTAACCCTTTAAGTAATGTACATGTGTAATGAAATGTTTTTGTCAAAATCTTGATGATTTTATTACTTCTTTTTTAAATTTGTTTTCGTATTCATATATCATCATCTATTTGAAAGAGGTTAAGAGTTACATGAGTTACATTTGAGAGTATTTATTTATCTGATAATCGCATACGTTTTTGCTATGACAAAAACTTCACAAAACACGTTAAAATAATAATACATGACTTGTGGTGAATATTTTTCCTTTCAATTATGTTGAAATCGAAATTTTTTATCAAATAATTCAAAATATTTTTAATGTAATCGTATATAATGTTACATTTATAGTGTTTTGAAAGACCATCCAGTCCAACTTAGGTCCATGGCGGATTCAGGTGGGGACGTAGAGGGCATACACTCACCCCTTTTAGTTGAAAAAATATATTTTTTTGCATACTGTAAACGTTAGAAAAAAATCATATCGTTACGCTTGGCATTACCATAATGGACAATTACGCCCTCTTTCACGGAACCATGGATAACCCAGGGAATAATTCAGGACGCGGATATTTCATATAACAATTCACCGTTCGTGTAGCAATCATGAATTCGATAAGGCAATATTGAAATGTTATGATTATATATTGTCATCATACCTACCTACACCTAGCCACAACGCACCATTATCCCAATAAAGACTTTGTCGACAAAAATGGTAATAGTTTCAGTAATTTATATTTAAAGTTTCTTTTGAAATATGCGTGCTATGTCTGTCAGATTGAATAATTATTTTACAATTCAACTACAGCTCTTTGCATCAGATTTGAACATGTTGTACATGTAGTCCCCCATGTACTTGTAAATTTTGTGCTTTAT